GCGGCAACTGAAGAGGACGACGATGATGAGGAAGATGCTTTCACTCCCATCACACAAGACGAGTACGACTCCATAATCGGGGACGTCTACGCCCTTCTCGTGCGCAGCCTGGTCGACTGTGGCTGTTTTCGCGACGCCTTCGAATTCTGCGTACGTGGACAGGGTCTTCTAGAGGACATGCCACAGAACGAGCGCAACGTCTCCGCGCAAGCCGTGCTCAAAGACCAGCTGGCCATCATCCGGAAGAACTACGAAGCCCGTCAAGGAACCACCACCGCAGACGCCACCATCAACCCCAGCGCTCTGAACGCCCAAGGCTTCGCTCGCCGAGTCCTCTACCCCTGGAACGAGCACGAACCGGACCGCAAGTCCCCCGAGACCCTGCAGCTTCTGAACGAGCGCCTCAAAACCGTTGCGCCCAAATGTGAAGTCCGCGCCGTCGCCTTGCCCGCTTTACACGGCACCACCACCACCACCACCACCACCACCACCACCGAAGACGAAGTCTCCGTCCAACTCGGCCTCTTCGCCAAAGAAGACATCGCCCCCAACGAGATCATCCTCCGCGAATCCTCCCTCCTCACCGCCACCAACCGCCTGCACGACGACCTCTGCGACGCCTGCAACGCCCCGCTCCCCGATCTCTCCTCCCCCAATCCCCCCGTCGCGTGCGACGGCTGCGCAGACACCATCTTCTGCTCGCAGGCCTGCCACGACGACGCACAGCGCATCTACCATGGCGCCGTCTGCGGCCTGATGGAGAACCTCGAATCCATCGGCAAAGACATTCCCGACCCGAAGGACAAGGCCGATTACCTCTACCTCCTTCTTCTGGGCCGCACGCTCGCCATGGCCGCTACCCAGGAACTGCATCCGCTCGATCTTCCCGAAGTGAAATACATCTGGGGCGATTTTCACGACCTCGACCTCAACGACACCAATACCACTAGTGAAGACCCAACAGCAACCCTCCCCTTCTCCTTCCAACTCAACATCCTCCAACCGATGCGTCTCCTCGAAGAAATGGAAATAGACCCCTACGCTGCCCTCCCCCGCTTCGACACCTGGGTCTTGAATACCCTCTACGCTAAATTTAGGGGTACTGCGTCGGGCCGGCTCTCGACATGGGACGGTGGTCCGGAGCTCTGTGCTGTGCATCCGCTTTGGTGTCTGGCGAATCATTCTTGTGATCCGAATGTGAGGTGGGAGTGGGGTGGGGAGATTACGTTCCGGGCTAGGGAGGAGAGTGAACGGGCGGTTTGGAAGAGGGTTAAGGGTGAAGGTGAGAGTGTGCCTGGGGAAAGAAGGAGACTAGAGGCGGGGATCCAGAAGGATGAGGAGATTCTTAATCATTATTGTGATATTGGGTTGGATGTTAAGGAGAGGAGGGAGTGGGCCAGGGGCGCGTTGGGTGGTTGGTGTTTGTGTGAGAGGTGTGTTTGGGAGGCGGGGGAGAAGTGATTTTTCCGCCTTTTGCTTTGCGTTTGGTTTAAGGGGGAGGAGGTTCAATGGGTTAGGATTTTGGTAGAGGAGTTGGGGTTTGGGGTTGAATGAAAATAGAGGTTCATATAGTGGTAAGTGAAAGATGGTTGGATATACTTAGATAGAGATACCCAGGTTGATAGAAGAAGAAAAAAAAATGGAAGTGGATATCCTCATTATGTCTGTCTTACTGAACGGATCAACCCATATGTGATTCCAGTCTTTTTACTTTTCTTAAAGAAATAAAAATTCTGAAAGCAAAGACAAACCTACAACTGGACAAATACCGAGTAACAGCCTGTATGTATACCAACCAGCAATCCGTGTACTAGTACTTACCAACAATTCATATTATAATAGTTGAAATCCAACTAACTCTCTCTCACTTTTACATTGTATGATACACTATGTGTCTGTTTACAATGCATCAATGCAATAAGTACTTATTTTAATCAATACATCCCATAATGTAATATAAAGTTAAAGAAACCCTTCCTTGAATCTCAAATCTTGATTTCAACCCGGTATAGAACAAACCTAAGCCAAGCCCTAAACATATATCCTGCAAATAGTGTCCATCTGATTCCACCTTTCTCGCTTCCTATCACCCATTACATACAAATTTTTCCCACCCTAATCACGCGTCCTAGACGGAGACCTACGCCGTCTGGGCGGCGGAGACCTCGACGGGGATAACGAGTCAGAGTATCTCCGACGACGAGGGGCAGCGTCACCACGAGCACCAGCACCAGCACCACCACCGCGCGGCGGGGTAGGAGAGCGAGAGCGAGAGCGTGAACGCGAGACAGAAGCATCACGGGGAGCACGGCGACTAGGCGGGGCACGACGTTCAGGAGTACGAGAACGGGATCGAGACCCGGAGACACTCCTGTCGACCCGCCGGCGGGGAGGAGGCGACCGAGACTCTGAGTACCGAGCGGCTCCTCCGGCGGCGCGACGTGGAGGAGGGGAGACGGATCGGGAGACGGATCTGGAGTAGCTTCTGTCTCTGCGGGCGTAGGTGTCTCGCTTGCTGCGAGAGGGAGGGGTGACGGAGCGGGAGAGCGAGCGTCTGGGAGAGCGGGAATCGTAGGAGCGATCGCGTGTCCGACGAGGAGGGGGTGTGGGGGACACGGAGGATCTTCTGCGGGGGGACTGACTGTATGAGACGGAGCGTCGGCGGGATTTGGGCGCCGGGGATCGGGATCTGGAGCGCGAAGGAGTGTAGCTGTAGCTGCGGCGAGAGGATCCGGAGACGGACCGGCTGTAGGATCGGCCGCGGCTGACGGAGCGTCTGCGGCCACGGCCGGGCGAGGGAGAGCGGGAATAGGAGTAAGAGCGGGAGCGGGAGCGAGAGCGAGGAGTACAGGTTGAGCAGCTGGTTGGGTGGGATACCACGGACTCGGAGTCGGAGTCGGCGCCGGCATCGCGTTGGGGCAATGCGGGCATGGTGGGCTTGGGGAGGTTCTTCAGATGCTCGCGCATGTCCTCGGTTAGTATACCCATGCCGATGCTGGTGAAGTAGTTGATCGAGAAGCGCGTGTTGCGGGGGTTGTCCAGTGGGAAGAGGCCCTCGAAGCTGGGGCGCAGGATTTCGTCCCGCATGCGTTCCTGCAGCTTGGGCAGGCCCATGTGCTCTCCGAGATCTTGGAAGAGGATCTTGATGAAGATACGGCTGCTGGATGTCGTCTCCTCCTCGTTCATGTGGATGATTGACATGACATGCCAGCCAATCGCATCAGTGCTGATCATATGGCCGAAGAAGCGAGCAATGTTGCGGAGTCGGTTTGTCTCGTAGCGGTGGATTGTGTCATAGTACTTGGCGAAGGCAGCTTCGAAGAGGTCAGACCAAAGGCGGTTGATCTTTGCGAATCGTTCACCGATCAAGCCGTAGAATTTCGAATACGTGCGCTCCTGGGAGCAACATTCGATGATCATCGATGGGAGCTCGGGCTCGAGGCCAGCGGGCAACGAGATCTTCATCAGCTTGTGACAGCATTCTTCAAAGTCGATACTCGACATGATCGTCAGGTATATCGTCCTCCGCAGGTTCACAAGGTCTGTGTTGGTCTGATCTTTGATATCCATCTTCCGCTCTTCCTCCGACTCTTCATCGGAGCTCTCATCTGACTCGTCTTCATCGTCCTCCTCGTCATCACTGCCCTCACCCAGAATCTCTGCCTTCAGCTTTTTGTAGGCCTCCTCGTGCTCCTCCCATTCGGCATCGTACTTGAAGATATTGAGGGAATCTTGCGTCTCAATTTCGTCATCAAGTCCGATCTGGTGTGTGATTTGATCCTCTTCCTCGATCAGGTCCAACTCTTCCTTGATCGCCGGATTGTCCTTGTACCTATCCTTCCGGACCTGGAACAACACCTCGATCATATATTGTACTCGCTTATCGATGTCGGCTTCGTGAAGGATATTCCGGAATTGGTCAAACACCGCCAGGGCAATAGGACCGCTCATCTCCTCTAGATGCTGACCAACCTCTCGAGTCAGGCCGACGGCGATTTCAACACTGTCATCTGTGGGCTTGTGAAGCAGCAACAGAAGAATCTGCGCGGCCAGCATCTCGTGCGCGACCTGCTGGTTGCACAGATGGGCAATGAACGTCGTAGAAGATATGCAGACTGCCTTGTCGTTTCTCTTGAACGCCTTTCGGAACTGGACAATGAGACGGTTGAGCAACAGCTCGCCGACTTGGGGCAATTTAGTGTTGACAATAGCCGCCATCGCAGCGTAGATAGGTGTGAAGGGCAAACTGGCCGCCTGGGCTTTCATGATACTCCTGCAAAACAGACCGCGACCGCGCACCAAGTTCTCGCCAAAGAGCTCCGGGACGATAAACTTGATGTTGGAAACGTTGACCTTGTTGATGAGACCGTTGATCGACTTCTTGAGAGCCTCCCACGCCATCCGCTGGTACTCCTTGCTGGTCTTGTCCGTAATCTGTGCCTGCAGCGCCCGTAGTCGCGCGGGAGGAATATAGGTACCACCCGATCGCATGTTTAAAAGCTTCTCATATTCTGCTTTGGCCGCAGCTTGCTTTTCCTCCTCCGTCATCGGCTTTCGAGCAGCCTCCTGCTTCTCATGTTGGCGGAGGCGCTCCGCGAGCTGTCGCTCTCTTTCAATCGCGCGTTCGGGATCGATGCGCGGCGCATCCGCACCGTCTCTAAGTGAGTCACCCGGGGGCGAGCGACGACGATTCGGCGAAGGAGACCGAGAGGGAGGTGAGCGTTTGCGGGAACCCGAGGCCTGAGGAGAGTAGGAAGTGCCTGGGGGCGGAGTAGGCACTCGCACCGCCGACTGCAAGACAACAGGGTCCGTCATATTCCTTTGCAGTCCACCGGAAAGAAATGGCTTTCAGTCGTGACGTCCGCAGAGAACACGACGTTGGACTGAAGCTCCATCGGGATGAGGCGTGAGGCGGCGAAGAAAGGTCTTAGCGCGTCGGTCACGTGGAAGATTAGTCGCCAGGCTGGCGCCGGCCGCTCTCTACTATCGCCATGGGATGAGGAAGTGCTAAACAGACCAGCCGCCATCATCGCAGCAATTGTCACGCAAAACTCTCCTGGTAGCGCATCATCATTATGGTATACTTTTCGCATCCTGCCCTACAGCATCTGGAAATGTTTGAAACGCTGACTTGAATTGCGCCGTAGCTGGGCTCTATCGTCGGATCCGCCATGCTCCTGGTCGCTACTGCGATCTTTCTCTACTACACCACCTGGACTCTGTTGATGGTACGTCTTCGCGCCTGGGTATAATTGCTTTTCTACAACACCTGCTAATATTTGTCTTCGCTAGCCCTTCGTCGACCCGGGTCACCCTCTCCACGATCTCTTCCCTCCCCGTGTCTGGGCCATCCGTATCCCCGTTTTCCTTACTCTGCTCGGTTCCGCCGTGGTTGGCACGTTCATAGGAATTGTGATGATCAACAGCAACAAGAAGAAGGCAGCTAAGGCTAAGGCCGCGGCCAAGAAGAAGACCTAAGCTCCCAAAGAAAAAGAAAACCGACGTGGCGTTTGGAGGATGAGTTGGGTGGTAAACATGGCGACTCGAAACAGGTGGCATCATCTTATTCTGCATGTAACATTACTTTTGTCTGTCCTTGTTCTTTTCAAGCTTTCCCCTTGATTGGGTTGTTCTGTCATCACAGCGTTCAATTACACCATCCGCATTCCTCGCATTCTGCAAGCGTGCCGCGTGGTGAGGTAGGAAGGGGGAGGCGACGGCGAATGACGAGTGTAGGCCCAGATGCTGCCCGGTCACTGGGTGAAGCGTTCCTGGTTTCTCTTGTGCCTTACCCTGGGCAACAAGATACATGCTTAGCCGAGTCTATGCGTTACCCTTCCAAATGGGGGCCATGGCCACTTTGTAATCTTTCAGTCATGGGCCAGTTCTCAACCGATGACGATTGAGGGGGACCTTACAGACGATGGCAGTGCTCTTTCGCCATGCAGCCCCGTGACTCACTTCCGGCGACCAGCCACATCTGGCATCGGTTCTACCGCATTCCGGGCTTGAAACTATGTGATTGGTCTGAGACTATTGGCGGCTAGACCGTTGGGGAGAAGACCCATCCAGGGAAACGGCCAGCCATGAATAGAAGGTCCGGCCCAACTAAATTGCTCCAGTTTCAAGTTCCAGCTGGCCCTGGGACACACATGTTTTTGTTAGTTCCGGTGGTGGTGGCTGTCTGGCTGCCGTGCCCAGGGCCCTCACGTGATGGGAGTGAGCCGTAGTTTGGACGTCGATAGTTTGCAGTGTTTGTTGAAAGGATACCCCTCATGCGGGCAGTTCAGCACCAATGGGGAAAGGCGCCCATGGCGTGTGTAAGAATTGTAGGTTCTCCGCCTTACGGGGTAATAGCCAATACGGTACGGTAAGTGCAGATCATCGGATGCCTCCTAATTCCAGGTCCCAACCCACCTGCCTGGATGGGCGGACGTGGGAGTCGGAAGTGGGAGAAGAGACACTGCAAAGAGGGGAAATGGATCCATCCCATCTGCAATCTAGTTACTAGAGACCATGTATCATGTAGGAACCTTACCCGACTGCGTCACGTTATGACGGTCACGCCTGGCCGCATCCCCCACTAGTAGCCAATGATCACTGGAGCCCCGTCATGTGGTGGCCCTGGAACCTTATGGGAAGGAACGACGGGGGGGTGGGAAACTACTAGGGGAAACTACCATGGACATTTGGGGGGGGGGGAAAGTGACTGATAGGAGATAAGTCCGGCGTCGTAGTCAGCCTACCCATGGAGATGTCATCCATGCTCCTGACCTGATCCGGTTCCCCTCCCCCTCCCTCTTTCTTCTTCCCTCTTCTTCCCTTTGCTTGTTCTGTCGCCATAACAACTTCTACTTCACTTCAACCACTTTCCGGTTGCCTGTTACCTCAAATCTAGACGTGTCTGTTGATCCGTCACTGTATCTATCTGTCCCGACTACTATAAGTGGTCTACAACCCAGACAGGCGGTATAAGCAGTGCTTCCGACCTGTCGTGTTTACACTCCCACCCTCCGGCGTGTCCACGGATCTCCGCTCCAGATACGCTGTTCTATCCGTTCATCCGGCACGGCCGTTGTATCTAAACTTCTTGCTACACCTGTTCCTCGGCATCTGTAGCACTGGAACCTACTGTAACTCCCCCTCCTGGAGCATCAGTTACCCGCTATTCTATGACTCCTACTGATAAGCGTTGCTCGACGATAGACCATAATTCCACAGGATTCCTCCGGCAGTGAATCCATACTACCCTTGCGAGTGTCGTTGCCGGTCGACCACACCGTCAGAACCTCCGTTCTCAGCCCGCACCAAGGGTTCTGAGAGCGGCTGTCCCAACTGAGCTCATATTGCCTCTGAGAGGCAATCCCTTTGAATGCCACCGGCAGCTTCGGACGATTTGTTTCGCCAGCAGAGCCGGTCCTTAGGTGACACCAGCCCCTTTCCTGAAGATCCCAGCCGAGCCACCTTGGAGCATGATCTCGGTGGAAAGACCAAGAAAAAGGGGAAAACCGGAACCAAGGGGAAGAATAAAGCAGCCAAAGCAGTTCCGAAGTCTACACCTGACGACCTGTAAGTCTGAATCCCTTCCACGTGTCTAGAAGGATCTTGGCTCTATGTGGACAGTTGGCTGACTTGGGTTGACGCGTCGTATGCAGTCTAGAAGTAGAAGCACCGTCACCGTCACCGCCTCTGCAGGCTGAACCATCGTCCTGCCCCAATCCAACATTGGAGCCGCCACCTAGCAACAATATCGTGTCACCGGTGCTTGATGCCCTTGGCACTCTGGGGGATTCTCCGGAGAATGACATTGCTTACCGCACCGGTACATGGGCCAAGTCCATCCCGTATGGCAAGAGTCCCCCGAATGATGCCGTTGATGGCGAATTCAATAGCGGATCTCCTTTCGGTTTCCTCACTAGTCAAGACAAAGGCGGATTCAGCCACCCCTCTTCGACGTCTCCCCCTCCGGGAGCGAGGCCCTTGAGCTATGGGCGGGGTTACGCTACCAGTAGTGTGTCTAGACAGCACTCCGTGGACCGACAAAAGAGCAACTCCGTCAGTAGTCCATTCAATAACCAGGTACCCCTGCCGCATCTGCCGCAGGCCCATTTCTATGGAGCGCCGGATATCGATTTGCCTCTGTTCTCTGGCCAGAATAGGGCCGCAACGGACGGCAGTTATTCATTCTGTGCGTTCGATACAATTATCAGCCCTTCATCCAAAGCCTCCAGAATGGGGAGTAGCGTTCTCCTGGTCGGCACAGATGGCGGCTTGGATGTTCTTGCCATTGAAGATCGAAAAACACGTCCTGTAGGGAAGTTGGCAGGTCTTAATGGCCGCGTAATCGAAGCAAAGTTGCTGAGCAACACTTCGACTAATGACCAACCACATGTCGCTGTCATCATCCACGGCCCCTCTGCTCAACCAGATGATGAGGGGCATGCATCTTCAAATAGCTCGGAAGCTAACGACATTCCCACTGGGAGACAGTCGGCCGCCGGAGGGCGTCCGAAAGAAGAGACCAGATACTATCAGACACGGGTCGAGGTGTATTCTTTGAGGACGGGAGAACACATCACCACGCTTCTGTCCACGCCGCCCACTCCATGCTTTGGCAATATACCTGGCCTTCCTGCCTTGGCTCCTTCACCGGCCGGGAATCTGAAGCTCTTGGTGAGCGGAAGCTACGTTGTCGTAGCGTCAGGTTCCAGTGGGGAAGTCTACATGTACAGCATGAGCAAATATCAGTTCTTAGGAAAAGCATGGACCAGTATCAAGTCGAAAGAATCTCGGCGATACTCCACGTCTTCTAGCTCCACCGACCCAGATGGATCTCAGTCTGATTCTCCTCATGGATCTCTCAACTCTGACAGCCCCATCGTGGCATTGAAGGGGAGGTGGCTGGCTATTGTCCCACCATCTGCAACTTACAGGGCTACTCTCCGTGCGGTCGTGCCGACGTCCTTGTTGCAAGGAAAGGCTTTCGGGCTTGAGACTCGAAGTCCTCCGTCGCGTCCAGCTATAACCTGCGCTACTGATGTTGGAGAAGGCGAAAGCTTTTTCGGCAAAGTAGCCCGGGGTGTTACGCAGGAGCTCATGCGAGGTGCACGCTGGATGGGTGATCAGGGACTACAAGCATGGAATAATTACTGGAATAAGGAGCAGGCTCAAAGCATGCCAGCCCGCCGGTCGCCTAATTTGACGGAGTTCTCACCTCAGGGGTACAATCTCTTTCCTCCCACTCATGCCCAGGACACCCAGTCTGTGTCCACTACCGAACCTGATCTGGTATCAATCTTCGATCTGCGAAAGCTAGACGAGGGCGAACCCAAGAGCTCTTTGTTCAATCCAGTGGCCACTTTCCAAGTACCGAATGGCTGCAGCTTCCTGTCATTCTCGCCCAACGGCCTCATGCTATTTACTGCGAGTAAGAAGGGAGACGTCCAGTATGTTTGGGATGTTATGCAGGCCAAATACTGTCGAGCCGGGGCTTTCCTCTCGGACGACCCAGCATCTGTGCAGCCGAGCGTGCGGCAGGTTGCCCGGTACCCGCGATTGACCACATCCCATATAGTTGACGTGGTTTGGTGTCCGCCTTCTGGAGACAAGCTCGCAGTGATTACGGGTAAACCGACGGTGCATGTCTTTGATCTGCCTCGGAGCGCCTTTCAATGGCCTCCTTTTCGACGGTCGCTACCAAAGCCTGCGAAACCGCCTACTGCTGATGCTCCGGCAGAAGAGCTTCCCGACCGGGGGCCGGCTGCAAATCCATTGTCGGCAGCCTTCAAGATGGTCGGTGGTAAGACACAGCCCATTCTTGCTGCAGTCAGGGGGCGTACTCCCTCCACCGGAGCCGCTTTCCCGTCCGTGGGTGGTTTTGCAATGCCTTCTGCAGCTGGAGTGAGAGGTGGCAAGGCGGTTGCTGCTGGCCTTAGTAAATCAATGGGAGCCGCCGCCACCGGCACTGTCAAAACGGTCAACACCATCCGACATGGTGGTGAACACCGCCTGCACCTTTCCAATCTGTCTCGGGACCCCGTTGCGGCTCGTGTGACGTGGATCATCCATAAAGGAATGCCATTCTTGGGCCTGATAGATGGGGGTTACTTCCGTCTGTACAGAATTAAACGCTCCACCTCGCCCAGGAAGAGCAGGCAGGTGCAGTCGGTGATCGGAAACAAAGAACTTGAGTTCCGCTTGCCTCCCCATATGCAGACACCTTGCGGTCCCATGACCGTGGGTCCAACCGCCACTACAGAAACAACGGTCTCTGCAACGCTGGCTCTGCCATCCGCGGCTCTACGACCGCCTCCAGCGTCGAAGCTCAAATGCCAGCCTCTTTCGCAGGCGGAGATCGAGACAAACACACCATATCAACCCTTCCACACTGACCAGAGGGTAAACCTCTTTGTGTACAATGAGGCAGACGACTCCGTGGGTTCAGTCCCGACGGGCCAATGGGCATTCGGCGGCTCTCTAGCCACAACGAAGCTCCACGTACGACCATTCAGCGCCTCCAGTGAAGAAGACGATGATATGGTACATGAACAACACCATGGTTTTGGAGCTGAAATGGAGAATCTAATCAGCCTGGGAAATAGTACGGGCAATGTGGAAGAAGTGGTCATTACCACACGCAGAAAGAAGAAGCAGGCTTCAGCCATGGCCCCCGGTGGCGGGGTTGATGACGGTTTCTTTGAAGATGACTGCGAGGTCTTGGACTTCGCTCGGGACCGAGTCTAATTGCGATAACCACAATTACCATGCCGCTGGCGGGGCTCTATAAGATTTGAACTAATATGTCACATTCTAGACTTACATTGGTATGGCGTTGGTGTGATTGGGATTTAGGCTCGCTCATTTCCTCTCTTGCTTTGGTTGTGACTCCATACGAACCTCTTTCTGGCATGCATTACTGCTTCGCATGATTTATGGCTTGATGCAATATGTCCGAGTGTCTCATGCCAAAGGATTTTCAACATGCATCTAGGCGCCTCCTAGTCAAAGCAGAGACAGAGGCGAAGATATCGTTCATTTTGTTCTGCACGTCAGAGGTCAATGACTTTGGGAATTATCTCTTCCTCACATCGGCACTATTTGACTGCACTCGCTATCTGTTGTCCTGATGCCAACTTTGTGTTCGCTGCGTACATGTCGGATATGCGCTCACTCGTTCTCTTTCTGCCCGCACCGCTGTATTTCGATGCATATTTCCGTGGCCATTCGATGTTACAATTGATGTTACATACCCAGTGCTGTTCTGTGAGCCAGATAGATGAAACCATGCGGGCGTTAATCGTAAAGTACATACATATATAGGTGAAATAGACATGTGCTTGAGTGATAGATATGATGAACGCAGATTACATGAACTATAAGGAGTTATAAGAATATTTGCTACTAACTGGTAACTTACTTGTTAAGGAGCCTTCTAATTGAGTTCTGTTCCACATGCCCATAGCCATCCTACCGAATTCAATTCCTATGCTTCAATAGCTACCACGAATATAATACACCATATCAATCCTTAATCATCAACAACAAAACAAAATAATAGATCTGCAGTGCACGATGATCATCAACAGTTACTACCGAACCCGAGCCCGAGACCCACCGAGGGGTGAGGAATATCAGTGGGTATGCGGGGTTTGAGTACTTGACACACCATAAATCAAGTATCACGATAATTAATACCGCGTAAATTTACTACGTACAGAAGGCGATTCATGTATGGATCTTATAGACTTGGATAACTAGGCTCAGCATTGCTTGTAGCTACAGAGTCGCTACTATATGGGTTTTCTTGCGAACTGGGGAAATACTATAGTATAGGGGAGCTATCAAAATGATTGCATTTCTCGGAAAGGAAATTGTGATCATGTGAGTGGTTTTTGAATTAAGATAGGTAGAATGCAGAAGTAGTTACCAGTAGGCTAAAATACATGAGCACTACGTAGTAGTAAAATAAATCTGATATGAATGATAAAAGGGACAAGTGATCAATCAATTCCGGATGGGCCAGTAGGTATACAGATTCAAGAAAATTATCAAGCAAGAGCAAAGCAGATAGTAATCAATCAAGTTAATTATTAATCCACGAATGATATAAGATAAACAGGTAGTGGTGGTAGTAGTAGTAGTGGTAGTGACAAGTTCCCATATTAGCTAATTTCCTTAATTTCCCGTAATCAATCAATCATATTAACACAAAGCGCTGGATTAAGTGTGCAAGTAGACAGATAGCTTCCCCCCTCCCTTTCCCCATCATCGATCAAGGTATAGCGTTCAGCTCATTTACAGAGCCCAAGCAGCCAAGACGAAGCCAAGCACACCGGCAGCAGAAACGCCCAGCTTGAGCTGCGTGATAGCAGCGGCGTTCTCGGTGCTGCTGGCATGAGCACCAGTCGCGGTGCTAGTTCCGGAGGAGCCAGACTTGGAGTTGGAGCCTGTTGTTGAAGATAATCGTTAGTCAAGAAGTAGAGATGCATGGGGAGGTAGACGGTGGACGTACCAGAGCCGGTCGACGAAGAGGAGCTTCCGCTCTTGGTGGTGCTGGCGTCGTTGGAGCCAGCAGTGGTAGCGGAAGAGCCCGACGCTCCTGTGGCACTGGCCGGGAAGAAGTAGCTGCTGTAGCAGCTGCTCTGGCAACTGGCGTAGGATTTCTGGTCGCTGGGGGAGCCGGAACCCTGGGGACAGGCGGCAACGCAGCTGGTGGTGTCGTTGGCCATGGCGTTGTCGGGGCAGGGAACGCTGTAGCAGTTGGCGATGCAGCAGATCTCGGTTTCAGCGCCTGAAGATAGTTAGTTGAATTGCTCTTGGTAGGCTTCTTTGTTGTGGTAGGTGGATGGAGTATAGAAGACGCATGTGGTTGGGTTTTGCGGAGGGGATTTGGGGGGAAAGGTCCAGGATGCAGAAGTGGTGTGGGTATAACAGCATTGGAAAGAAGAAAGGAACTTACACTTGGCAGCGCAGGAAGCCTGAGGAGACAGGCTAGCAGTGGTCGTCGCGGCACTGGTAGTGGAGGAAGAGTCCTGGGCGACGGCGAGAGCCAGGAGGGAGGAGAGAGCGATAGCGCTGTTGAACTTCATCTTGACGAATGGATCGAGGAAACGACAGACGTTTGCGATTGACTGAAGTGTAGAAGCAAGTAGCGAAACGAGCGCGACAGAGTAGCACGAAACGAAGGACTGTAAGGGAGGAAAGGAAGAAGAGGAAGAAAGAAAAGGAAGAGGGGGAAGGCAGACGAGGTGATGAAAGGGAAAAAAGACGGGCTGTAAATAACGGGGCCAAGGATGGCGAGGCGAACAATGGACCGGGGGAAAGTTGCCCAAGCGTATCAGGCGATATGCTGGGATTCACCGCGCCTGGCACCAAATTAGGGTCATCCAGCTGTCGGTTCGCCAGTTGCGATTAGCGGGGTTTCAGCAAGCCGTCAGAGTCGCACAGGCTAGTGCGCTGGATTCCTCAAGAAGCGTCTGGATAAGTGGATTCACTGGGCCGGAGCTAGTAGTCCACACCCTTACATTTGGTGGCAACTCAATAACATCGGGAAGAGACATTTACAGGGTGGATGTGGACTTGTGGAGGCGCCATTTGTGGAGTTGGCATGATTTTTAGTTTGAAGCAGGTGCCTACGAGAGATGGTGGAGAGAGAGAACAGCGCGAAGCACAGTCCAGATTTTGGACCCAGTCCTTCAATTTGGTTGTCGAGGGCGAGCCAAAAGTGGTGAAGAGTAAGCAGCCAGTCAACAATCACAGACCCTGAAAATCTGGGGACTGCAAAGGATCGGCTAAAAATAACCCTAGACATAAGAGGGAATCCAAGGGTCATTTCAAGGCACTAATAGCGCTACCCCAACGCTAAACCGGTTGCTGCTAAGCTAGTAAGAGCTAGACTGTCTCCCACTAATTCCATATTAGTCCGTCACTGTCCACCATTCGGTCTTATCAGTGGAAGGGGTTGAGACAGCGCATCCGAAGAGGTGGAGAGCACCCGGTCATTGGTGGGCTGATCTGTCAGAAAGTGTCATGCGAACACACTGGAATGCACTAGATATCAGGGTAAAGAGGGTGGTTGGAGACTTTTGGCAAGTCGTGTAGGCACCACGGTCACGAATAGGGGCCGGACTATCAAGGGATTTATTCTGTCAGATTCATCGACACTGGAATTGCTTTTTCAGGCCTAGTGTGCCTCGGGCAGATCCGACATGCCTGTCCTGGCTTCTTTATCCGCTCAATAATAACTACTCCGTACAGTACAACAACAAAAGATGGGGATGGAAAGGATCCGGAAGACTTTCATTCTGCCCATCACGTGGCCATCCATAACATTCTTGGATGGTTTCGAGGCTCAATTATTGACAGTCTGGAAACCTTGTCCGAGATGGAGATTCTCATCAATGTCATCCCTATTCAATGATCGACTAATGGGCCTTATTCTAATGGGTTTCTACTGGCACTACTATTCCTTTAGCATGTGCTGCCCCTTTTATACAAAAGCAAATACTTAGTTACACCTAGATTATAGACATCCTCCGAAAAACCTGAACTTTGAGACTAACTTCGAGGCTGGAGTTAATTACCATCTTGTTGACTCGCTATAGTACTTCAGATATTGCTAGCAATTATATATTGGATGACGACAATAAGACTCACCAGTAACTATCAATCAGGCTCGCAGTTAGTATTGAGTCCTGACACGAATTATGAATGGGAGCCATTGGGGGGCATGACACCAACAGTCTGCTACTGAACTCGACTTCAATAGAGTTTAATTGATGTTTGAGCTCGCAGTAAAAAGTCAATAGCTCTTACAAATCTTGTCGGCGCTGTTTTACCATCATTGCAACTCAATTAACCCGGCACATTCCATTCTCCGCGGGAGGACACAGAGTGGAGAAGCCCAGCGCTTTAGAGATAGTTGGTTGTAGTCACAATAGTTGGTGAATGGGGCATCGCTAGCTAAATTGGTTTTGCAGAGCAACTGGAGGGAAAGACAGCCTAGCTGAGAGTGTACATAGATATTTGGAGACTTTCTTCGCCGGTATAGTTTCACGTGCTTGAGAGGCCTTCTAGTAAACATCTTGTTACCAATGTCCCTGTAAGAACGTGACCCTCAGGCCTTCCGCATCATACAAAGAGCACCTAAAGCCAACTAGAGTATGTCGAGGCCAAGAAGATCCCGGCCGATTTGAAACTCGCGAGGTTTCACTTCAAGCATTCCTCAATCGGGTAATCAGCTTGCTGTATATACAGTGTGTCTATCTGGCAAGGTAAGTGCAGGATGCAGACTGTAAAGACCGACTGAATACTATGTTGCTTTCTCTATTCCCTAGTAGCTGGGTCTATGGGATACATGTCTACCCCTGTTTACTCCTTTGATTTCATGAAGCTTTAATTGCCGGCGGTCCTTTGTCATATTGCCCGCAAGAATGTGGAACCAATTAGAGTTCCTTTCAACAAGTAAGATGGAGCCTAGACATTATCTTTTCGTTGAATTAGTACTATACTCTTCTTTGAAACTTCTCAGCTCGAGATCGACTTATGCTATGTCACCACAGCGCGATATGAAGGGTCATTGAGTAAGATTGTCCATCGGTAGTTATGGCTTGTTATGATGTCACAGTCATCGCATTTCCAGTAATGCGAGAGTAATATCTGATTCTAATTCCCCAATAGTCTCCATATCAATGTATGATTTCTTTCTGAGCCAATGTCTGAACTAGATCAGGACTGCTTAGTATCCTTATCAAGGCGGACTAGACCGATTACTCACCACTTATGTAAGCTTCTTTATCGATAAGGACATGTGATTGCTCTTAACGCGTCGCGTCCAGGCATCTTCGATGGTGGTCGGGGTTTTATCCTACGATGCACCTCGGCTTCGCTATGTTCAGCCTTGATGGTGGCTCCTCTGACTATTTCGACGATGATCTGGGCGACTTGGGCGTCGACCGGCCTTCAAATGCGGCAGACTCGACTGATCCTGACACTCCCCGACCAGCCAAGCGCCGTCGTCTGAAAGCTAGTAAAGACACCCCAAACGCGGAATTGCAATCACATCAAAAGTCTCGTGCAGAGCGTCGCGATGGGGCTAGGACAGCGCTAAGCTCAGACTCATTTATCGACTATGATGACGACGAAGTGCCCTCTCCCGAGCGAGAGTCACACTACTTCCAAGACGATAGTGAACGAGAGGCACGTTCCAAATACAAAGTCTTCGCTCCCAAGAACGCAAATTTTCAGGAAAATATCTTTGTGACGCAGCTAACGCAGCCCCCCTCTCCGCCGGAAATGCTTCGTGGTCCCCGTTGGAAGAAGCCTGATCCTGGCTTGCCTTCCCGAACTGCTGCCACCCCGCTGCCAATAACAACTCAAACCAGAGACTCCGCTGCTGATGTTGATGGAAATGATGAGTATGACGATGATGAAGAGATGAAAGCAGCGATTGAGGCATCGTTGCAATCGTTCGAGGAGGAAACATCAAGACCAGCTCCCTCCGTGCCCTTGCAAAAGCCCCCGTGCCCATCTGCTCCTCCCATTGTTGGACAGCAGAACACTACCGTTGTGGCCTCCAATGATCTTCTGGACGATATACCTGATGATGCCTTCGACTCAGACCTGTCAATGTCACCACCTCCTGCGCCTCAGCCTCGCCCGGCGGCTCAGTCATTCACACAGTCAACGAATCGCCCATTAGGTGTTCGCCAAACCACGCTATTTGGTATGGTTGCCAGACACCCAGAAAATCAGCCACCGCGCGGTGAACAGGTGTACTCTCCGCCTGAGAAGAGCGAGCCACCTACTCAGCATAAACTCAACCAGGAAGCCTTGGGTACGTGGGTTTATCCTACGAACCTGGGTAAAACTCGAGACTATCAGTTCAATATTGCTCAAAAAGGCCTTTTTCATAATTTGCTTGTAGCTTTACCCACGGGTCTCGGGAAAACGTTCATTGCAGCTACTATCATGCTCAACTGGTTTCGGTGGACCAAAGATGCTCAGATTGTCTTTGTTGCGCCCACAAAACCGCTAGTTGCTCAGCAGATTTCTGCATGCTTCGAAGTCGCTGGGATCCCTAGATCCCAGACCACTATGCTCACGGGAGAGGCTGCTCCGGGAATCCGAGCCGAAGAATGGAAGGCAAAACGCGTATTCTTCATGACGCCTCAAACTTTGATCAACGATCTAAAAACTGGGATTGCTGACCCGAAGCGAATCGTTCTGGTCGTCGTCGATGAAGCCCATCGTGCAACTGGTGGTTATGCATATGTTGAAGTTGTCAAGTTCCTGCGGCGGTACAATCAGAGCTTCCGTGTTCTGGCTTTGACAGCTACGCCAGGCTCAACAGTGGAATCTGTACAAGCTGTCATTGACGGACTTGATATATCGAGAGTCGAGATACGTACAGAGCAGTCACTCGACATTAGAGAGTATGTCCACTCGAAAGACACGGATGTGCAGACATTCCAGAACTCAGAGGAGATGGTCCTTTGCATGGACCTGATGTCGAAAGCCCTACAGCCACTTCTCGATCAATTACGGAGCACAAATGCCTATTGGGGGCGTGACCCCATGGGTCTCACAGCATACGGGCTCACCAAAGCCAGACAACAATGGATGCTATCCGACTCCGGCAGAAACGCTCATTTCGGCGTGAAGGCCAAAATGAATGCAATCTTCACGGTTCTAGCCAGCTTGGCTCATGGTATCGATCTTCTCAAGTACCATGGGATAACACCATTTTACCGTCATCTTCTGCACTTCCAATCCAACACCGAGGGACAAAAGGGTGGCAAGTACCAGCGGCAAGTCGTTCAGGACGAGAGCTACAAGAAGCTTATGAACCATCTGCAGCCGTGGACGAAGAATCCAGAGTTTATTGGACACCCCAAATTGGAGTATCTGAAGCAGGTGGTGTTGAATCATTTCATGGACGCTGGCGAAGGCTCTGGTGCAGACGAAACCAAGGATCAACCAGCCACTCGCGTGATGATATTCGTACACTTCCGTGATAGCGCAGAAGAAGTCACGAGAGTACTCAAAAGATATGAGCCCATGATTCGGCCCCATGTCTTCGTCGGGCAGAGTAGCGCGAAGGGCTCGGAAGGAATGGGACAGAAAACGCAACTCGACATTGTGCAGAAGTTCAAGAAGGGAACCTACAACACCATTGTTGCAACTTCCATCGGTGAGGAAGGTTTGGATATCGGTGAAGTGGACCTTATCGTGTGTTACGACTCTTCAGCTTCACCTATTCGTATGCTCCAGCGCATGGGACGTACCGGTCGAAAGAGAGCAGGAAAGATCACGCTTTTACTCATGCAAGGCAAGGAAGAGGAGTCTTACATCAAGGCCAAGGACAACTACGAAAAGATGCAGCAAATGATAGCGAGTGGCACCCGGTTCACTTTTCACGATGACATGTCTCCGCGGATCCTGCCCCCGGGTGTGCGGCCTGTTGCTGACAAACGAGCGATTGATATTCCCGAGGAGAATACTGTGCGAGACCTTCCAGAGCCGAAACGGCGAGGCCGGGCACCGAAAAGGCCGCCGAAGAAGTTCCATATGCCTGATAATGTCGAGACCGGATTCACTACGGCATCGAATTTGGCCGGGACCTCTAAGCGCAAAGCACCAAACAAAAGTAAGGCTCGCACGCCGACTCCAGAGCCTGTAGAATTGCCGGCGCTTGAAGATGTTCTGCTTACCCCCGCGCAGCAAAAAGAACTTGAACTCCTCTACAGCAACGCTGGGCCCAGTGAAGAGCTTCTGGTCAGTTATCCCAGAAGCGACGCCTTCCCACGCCTTCAGCTTGCGCCTAGACCTACGAAAGCTGTTAGACACGGGTCATTGACTCGTCGTATGATTCAAACGTTGCAAAAGATGGACCAAATTACTCCAAACTATGGGGATCGTTACAAGGAAATCATAGCACGTGAGGCGGCCTCCAGGCCGGAGGCCTCGATAGTAGCGCCGAAGTCCAATGGTCATGGGGAGGTTCATTCCCGGACCAAACCTAGACGCACATCCAAGGTGGTATCATCCAAGCCAAAGAATCAGGAAGAGCGAGATGTGTCTGAAGTACAACGAACCCCACCGGCCAAGCACTCGGTATCAGCGACTAACGCTGAAGTAAAACCGTTCTATTGCTCGCAAAGGACTCAAGACGGAGATACAGATGATGATTTTGATCTTCCAGATGTCTCTACTCTTTTGGACAGGAGCGTGGAAAGGCCCTCGAAACGGAGCCGATTTGTTCTGGATGATAGCGATGACTGATTTGGACATGAACGCATAGCTTGGTTACATTCTGCATTGGTGATACTCTGGTTGCATATACCCTCGAGCAATATACTTAGATGAGAACGGTGGAGTTATTTCTTGATGTCATACATATAATATACTCGCACGTAGACACATTCTTGAGCACCATAAAAAGCTATTTTAGAGTGGACGGACTGTAAGTAAACGAGACCCAACGCAAGAATCCAGTTATGTCTTCAATCTCTAAGTGTATATACCATGTGTAAGACCTTACTTATCCAAACAAGCGCCCCCCGAAACTCAAATCTAATATCATATCTAAACCGAAAGACTGAACAAGTACACATAGGCATACACCAATCCGACACCTAGTAGTATAATCTTATATGTCCTCCCCATGCTGAACATGAACCAAAACCGCGATACCAACTCATCTCAGAGCCAGAGTGCCACGATAACCCTCTTCAATCAAGCGAAGCATTTAACCACCTCACTTACCCACATAATCAAACTTCTTCGTCGAATGGTTATAAACATACGCATACTCAGCCACATCGAAACCCCAGTCCCCAATAACCTTGGTACTCGCACTACACACATTCCCGGGCTTCTTATCGGTGAAAGCCTGGCAGTATGGCCTGTCCAGCAGTTCATCAGCATCATGATACTCTCAAAAAGACACCAAAAAGCAAATTTCCTAGGTGTAAAAGAGAATAATATTAAACACAGGGGATAAACATACCCAACCTTCGCCTTCTTCCCACTCTTCACCTTAAACCCCGTAATCTCAAACCAACTCCCATCCGATTTGTTCTTCTTAGCGTCATACGATTTGACCTTATTCTTCTGGTAGAAGCTCCGAAGAGACTGCTTCTGTTCGTCTTGCGAGTTGATGGTCACGCCTACGAGGATGGCGCTGCATCATGGCAATATCATTTCGTTAGCTTGTTGCACATCCCCAACAACAACAGAGAGCTAATTATGAACGTAAAGGAGTAGAGATAGGGTATAAACGTACTCCTTCCCTCCCTCCTTCGTCGACGCAAACGGAAACTCCTCCGCCGATACCCATCCCTTATGGTCTCCCCAGGCATTTGTAGCCGGAGACGCTTTCATCCCGTACTTGGCGGGATCTTTGAACGGTTGCTTGTTGGCTGCGCTGCCGGCTTCGACTTGGCGGTTTACGTCTGCAGCGTCGGTGTCGACTTTTTGCCTGTTGTTTATACACCATTAGTTGTTGGTTCCTTTTTTTTTTTCTTTTTCTTTTTTTCTTTTCTTAGTCGAAGGATCAGCAGTTGGGAAAGAGGAGGCATACATCACTGCGGACTTTCCCTTGCAGAGCATCGCCCAGCAATCCACGTCGTAGGTGAGGGCATCTTCGCCGCGGATTTCGATCTCGCCTTTGATGGGGTTGGATTTGCTGTCGCCTGGGTTGGAGCGTGGGTGGAGCTGGAGGGAGAGGTCGTCGGTTGTTGGGTGCGCGAGGGTGTTTGGGAGGGAGAGGAGGATGGTGAAGATTGGAAGGAGGGTTGATGAGAGGATCATTTTGAACTGGGTGTTTGGTGGTTCAGCGGGATAGGGCTTTGAGTGCTTGGTGATGCTGTGTTGGAGTGCATTGTTGCTCGTTCACTTGGTATCTTTATATCGTGTTGTGGATGCTGCTTAGGGGATGGTATTGAGGCTATACTACTGTGGTCTTGTCTATTTTGGGAGGCCTTATTTGGGGTCTGGTGAGATGCTTCATAGTTGATTGGGGATGAGATTGTTGCTTAGATGGTTTGAGAGTGGAACATGTTATCTCAGAACGAAATATCATTGATGCATAGGGGAGATGAAGACAGGGAATTGAAGTATATTGGGGCTGGGAGCACTGCTGGAGGCCTTATCATGGTCTGATGATTGATAGGGGAATTGTTGATGTTGGAAAAGCACATATGCGGTCAGCTTATCAAACATTGTGCTCTTTGATGGGATGAGGGTGAATTCGAGCTGTAGCATGATATATATGCTAGATTTGAAGCACAATGTATGGACATATGATTTGCCCGATGGGTTGATTTAACAAAAGCATGTTGAATCCAGTGGCCCTTGGTGTGTGATTATTTTTTTGATTATAGATGGCTATATAGTACTAAACTGTCCCAAGTCAGTATCCCTAAATTGATGCTGGATGTAAGAGGCTGCTTACTTGGGTGGTATAATAGATGCCAATCCTTGATTGGAATGGATTATTTCGCCAAGTACTACCAGTACTGGCCCCTGTATAAGAGGCCCTGAAGGCTAATAACTCAGCCCTTTCGGCGAAATAAGGGGGGGGGGGGAGGATAATTAGTAGACTTTCAGTGGCATATGCCCTGCACTGGAAGCTGGCAATGACTCGCTCCGCCACAGGCACTAAGAAGCCTACTACTAATCACTGGAGCGGGGTGAGCAGCCTCAAACACAAACTATTTCACTGAACATCAGTCTGACAATTTGCGAGCCTCAGTCTATCCCCATCTCTATTTCAGGTAGTGAAACGGTCAAAAGGAGTGATTTTTGAGCTGCTCTTTGTGTTCTGCAGTCAGCTGAGGACATAAGCAGGCGCTCACGCACAGCACATGACTCTCGCACCTATAGATGAGACAGCAGATGGGCAAAAAAAAACGATATAGAACAGTCAACTACTCTTCAATCGTGGTCCATTTTAATTAGCCAGAAGGGATCTATTTCCTTGAGTCTTGGCGGGAGGGACGATTTCATAGATCTGACAAAGTACGAGGTTGGTTAGGCAGGTGGGCGGACCCACGCCAGGATGTACGAGCCTAATACTGACTATAAGAGCCCCCTCTCATTCTTAGACCCTCAGCCTTGCTTAAACCAACTCGCATTTGCATTCAATACCACTCTCAGTTTACCACTGCCACCTAGCAATCATGACGAGCATTTTCCTATTCTGCACCTCCGACGTGCCGGCAAGCGTATGAAAGCTCCGTTTTGTGAGACTATCAAGTACAACTGACTTCTACTGTCACTACCAGACGATCAACCAATTCATGACAGAGTTCGCTGACGCCAGCGAAGATCCAAATATCTTCTGTCTGGTCCGCACTCCCGATCAGGAACAGTTCGATGAATGGGGCACCGAACCACCTGTGCAAGACTTCACAACAGGCTTCAAAAACGCCCCTGATTCTACTCTCCGCCTCTACACCCAAAATCGGATCGACGAACTCAAGACTGCAGGCAAGGCCGGCGGACTATCTCCCGGATGGCTGGCTAAGCTCGACGAGCAATCCCCGCATGACTCAACCGTGGTTCTGCAGTACCGCAAGATCAAAGCCAACTGGGCTCAGGCATTGGAAGATGCTGAAGAGCAGTATCATATCCCCGGTCAGGCGGACGTTGATGACCAGTATATCTGGTGGAAGTGGCGTGTGCCATTTGCGGATTCTTTCCAGCTATTCAACAGCGTCGACGATGGTATGCCGGATATGATTCGGCTGTTCACTCGACCTGAGTTTGTGGACTCGGAGGGCGTGCTTCATGTAGATGTCCCCCGTCAGATCATCAAGGGGGAGATTCCGGACCCCATTACGGAGAGTGCAAGCTGAGGGTTTGCCGGTCTACCTCTCATATCAACTTGCTGCTTATCTTAACTCTGCTCATCCCCCATACAGCCATGTAACATAAATGGGCTATACATTTGTCAAAACATTCAAGACTCAATGGACATACTCCGTAGTCTTAGATGGCCTTATGGGAGTGGATGGTGTGACGTGATACAACTTTATGGCTGACGTCTCCAGCCTTATGTCGACGTAAGGCAGTGTGGATTGCCACAAACTTCATTCTTGATAACAACCAAGCAATACCGGTGTTAGTCACCCTAATCCTCGAATTCCCCACGCCTGTAAGGAATAGTCAGATGAGCCTCCTAATGTAAGCTGATTCAAAGGCGGTGATGATCTGCCAGCGATAGAGTCCAACTTACCTTGATAGGCAGGCGGGGAGGGCGGCCTGGTGTGGCAGTAGCCCCACCACATTCCCGATGGGGAAATAACCTAGGGGGCGGCGGATCGCATTGGAGAACGGCGGAACCCGTGCCTAAACAGTAGACAGACTCAACCACAATCAGACACATTTCAGCATATCATCATCATGGCTGACGCTCAATTCGACAGTGCGCTGTAAGTGTTGCAGTTTTGGCTTTGCTCTAATACTATGAAGCCTGCCTAGTCCCTGGAGGCGACCGATCCACGCCATCGACCCCGCTTGCTGCCTCCCGCTGACCATCATACCTGCTTCCAGGGACCTGCTCCGGCGCCTCAACCCCCGCGATACGAAGCAAAACCTCCAGGCAATCACCTCCATCGTCCCCGATCTGACCGAGGACCTCCTCTCTTCTGTCGATCAGCCCTTAGAGATCCGCAAGTGCCCCAAGACAGACCGCGACTACCTCCTCTGTGACTACAACCGCGACGGAGATAGCTACCGGTCGCCCTGGAGCAATGAGTTCGACCCCCCGCTGGAAGATGGAACCGTGCCCAGTGAGAGAGTGAGAAAGCTCGAGGTTGCCGCCAACGAGGCATTCGATGTCTACCGTGAGCTGTACTACGAGGGTGGAGTAGGCAGCGTGTACTTTTGGGACTTGGACGATGGATTCGCCGGTGTTATACTCTTGAAGAAGGGTGAGCGAGTGCTGTCTTGTTATTTTAGACTGGCAATTCAAGCTAACATCCTGTTTTGTATAGGAGTTACACCAGGTGCTAAGAGCTCAGGAGAATGGGACAGTATCCACGTCTTCGAGGCTACCGACAGAGCGCGCATGTCCCACTACAAGCTGACTAGCACTGTCATCTTGCACTTGGCTAATGAATCCGAGTCCTTGGGTGAGATGGACCTGAGCGGTAACATGACCCGTCAGGTGGAGGTGGATCTGCCTGTCGAATCGGATGCGAGCCACGTTGCCAATGTTGGTCGGCTTGTTGAGGACATGGAGTTGAAGATGAGGAACCTGCTGCGTATGTCTTTCCTTTGCGGTCGTGAAGCGACTGTTGTTACGTTGCTGGGCTGATTGCTAATCGAACTGTTCTTACAGAGGAGGTATACTTCGGCAAGGCTAAGGATGTTGTGGGTGAACTTAGGAGTAAGTGCAGGTCTAATCAGCTGGCGGGCAATTCCATGCTAATAAGCGGAACAGGTCTCCCTTCCTTGTCCGAATCGAACAGAGATCGGGCTACCCACCTGGAGATGATCCGGTCTATGCACAGCTAGTCGTCTGTTTGTCAGTTAAGGAAGCCATTATAGCGTCGTTTTAGAGGCTGTTATTCATTTACATTTGTTGTATGTATTTCGAGCTCAAGGTTCCTGGGGATCCCAATATTACTCGTATACGATGAACTGCAGGCGTTATGTGATTGTGCGTTGTAAGTACCATTTTCTGTGATGGCCTGGCTAGCCATTCCCGCGAGCAACTCTTCATTGCATAATGCAAAATCAATTGCCAATACATTCAATAAACTTGGGTATCAAAGACAGGCTGTCCGCTTAGCTCCACCTGCAACCACATGGCAAGATATGGTACAGAACTCCAGATAGTAGAGCAATCACCATATTCGCCAATTCAAGGACCGAACCTTATCAAAATTTCGTAAATCATCCCAACATCAATGGCGTCTAATCAACCTCCATCTTCTCCTGCTCGCCCTCTGTTTTCGCTCCCGAGCTCACAGACGCCGGTTTGCTAATCCGCTCCACGAACTCCCTCGCAGCAGCCCACAGCTCTGCCTCCTTATCCTTGCCCACCGTATCCTTCCGACTGTTAAGCCAACTAACATCGAGCGGGTTCGATGATGCGCCCGCTACTCCACCACTGCTCGCACCAGGTAGATTCTCCGCTCTCGACGCTGTGTCCGGCGCAAGAATAGACGCCTCTTCTAGAGCATACACCTGACGACGGAGTCGAACATCAATGGACGAAAGGAGGGCGAAGTATTGCGAAGTGGCCTCCTTGAAGCGGGCTTGGTGGGATGCGAGAGAATTGTCCGAAGGTGACTCGCCCGACCGAGCGTTGGTCAGGGCTTGAATTGCGAGACCCGCGGAATGAATTAGCTTGGCCACATCCTGTAGTGATTTGCGGCGATTAGTGAGGGTGGAAGAAAGCCAATGACACAATATGAATAATATAGTAGCCGGGGTGTTGAGTATCCATCGCTAGCAGGGTAGCATTTCGGTGGTGTCGCGCGGGGAATAATCCCGGGCCTCTATTTCTTTTCTCTTAAACTCACCTTGTCTATTTCATTCAATTGCCGGATTCGATCCGCTGATGTAAAGACTTGGTCTGGCTTGCGGGTGTCTTTGACATCTGTCATTTTGTTTGGTCTTGGTTTTATTTCTTTGTTTATGTTCCAGGCTGCCAGCAGAAGGAAGTAGTTAAGTAGAAGTGACAGGTAGAATTGGCGATGGAGTAACTACTCGATCTGGACCTGCAACCAACAAGCTCCGTCACGTGCTCACTCAGCCCGGGGAACTCTGCTTACTTCAGCCGGGCCCGACGCGCTAGGCCTGAAGCGCGATAGTGCGATATCAGAACTTCAAAACCTCCCGTGAATACTTGCGCGCCTCGTCCTGCCGTCACCCTGCTGGCACTTGCGACTCGCCATTTATCCCGTCTCATCCGCTCGCTCTCCTCTCTCTACATCTGAGGCTACAGATTGATTTGTATCTGATCGTTTAAGCGCCATGTCTGCGCCAGGCGGGGCCCCCAGCCCTGCTCCCCGAAGTGGAAGCATGGGGCCCGGTGGTATGTCTATGCCTCCTCAGCAGCCCATGACCAACGCCGGGCCTGTCACTCCGGGTCCTCCTGCGCCTCCGCCGCCGCCTCCCGGAGGTCCGATGTCGCAGCAGAACCTGAATCAAATAGTAAGTCATTTGTTTTTCTTGAAAATGTCTTTGTTTGTTGTTGGGGTGTACTTTATTTCATTGCGTCATGTGCCTGTGCCTGGACTGCGGTGTGATAGGGTGGTGTGTTACCCCGGTGTATGCTTTACGCACATTGCTTGGTAATGATTATGAACTGAGTCAGTTGTGATTGTAATTTACCCTCACTGAGGGGGTATGGGAATGCCTACGTTTGCTGTCCAAGCTTTCTCTTTGTCATCCACCCTTGCCGTCCATCATGTCGGTCGTATATCGCTACTATTGCGCATCATGCTGTCACGTTATATGTCAACGCTTGTACTAACAGTTTTCAGGTCATCGATTATCTTGCGAAGAAGGGCTATAGTCGTACGGAGGCTATGCTACGTATTGAGTCGGCACATCAAGAAATCGATGGCCGTCCTCCTATGCCCCCTCTTGGCGAAGATGCACGGCCCAAGTACAGGATGGGTTTTGGTTAGTCCTTTTCGGTCTTGATGATACGAAACAGTGCTAACAGTACGTAGACTTGCTCAAGGTTTGGGTTGAAGACAACTTGGATCTTTATAAGGTAAGAAGCAGAATCCTACTCACATGTATCGGATTTATACTTACGTTCTAAAGCCTGAACTGAGACGTGTCCTCTGGCCGCTATTCGTATACACCTTCATCAACATGGTGTCTTCCTTCAAGCCGCAGGATGCCAAGCAGTTCTTTGATCTGAACAAGAACCTCTTCTTGCCTGAGCACACAGAAGATGTGCGGGCATTGGAGCCAATCAGCTTGCCAGAGCATGTGCAAGCCAATTCAACCGCCAAGTTATATCGTACAAACAAGTACCGTTTGGTTCTCAGCAACCCCGCCTTTTCGAACCTCATGCAGTTCCTGGAAAGCAAGCAGAAAGAGGGTGGCTCAGATATGACTGCCATCCTAAGCAGTTATTGTACTATCATCACCAAAGAGCGTACCGCGGACGATAGATTTAGTTTTGCTGCGATGCTGGGTCAAACAGACGGTCAGACATTCCCCAGTGAAGATGAAGGCATTCCTGGGCACCACCCTGGCTCTGCATACACCGGAGACAACCCGAACATGGCGGGAACCTTGCCCAGGCTCAAGCTAGGAAAGCTCCCTCTGGAGCAAGCCCTTGAGACAGATGTTAGGGGCGAGCTGGCGGATGAGGATGCGAAGAACCCTCCAGGCCCAGGTCAGAACACTCTGATTCAAGAGTTTGACCAGATGATCAAGAAGGAAGAGGATGAAGAAGCTCCAACTCGTGCTGATATCCCCTATCCTCCGTCAACTGCTCGAGATGTGGCTATAGAGATTCAGAAGGTTAAGGAGAACCGCGACAGATTCAGGATTGAGGGCAGAACTGGTGGCGTGGGTCCCGCTGTGAGCGTCTGCATGTTCACCTTCCACAACACCTATGATGGGTAGGTAACATGGACTCATTGGTACAAGGTCTTGACTAACAATCAACAGAATCAACTGCTTGGACTTTTCGGATGATCTTATGCTCGTCGCAGCTGGTATGCAGGAGTCATACATCCGGGTCTGGAGCATGGATGGCAAGAAAATTCAATCGACCTACGACAACGTGGATGATACTCCACCTTCGAACTCTCGCCGTCTAATCGGACATTCCGGACCGGTCTATTCAGTGGCATTTGCACCATCGATTACCAAGACGGACAATGCCGTCGCCCCGACGAACGCGCGCTGGCTGCTTTCGTCGTCCGCAGATAAGACCATCCGTCTCTGGTCCTTGGACCTTTGGCAGTGCATGGTGGTCTATAAGGGTCACGACCAGCCGGTTTGGGACCTTCAGTGGGGCCCCTACGGCCATTACTTTGTTTCTGGCGGACACGACAAGACTGCCCGCCTTTGGGTTACGGATCATATCCGCCAACAGCGTATCTTTGTCGGGCACGATCAGGACGTTGACTGCATCTGCTTCCACCCCAACTCGGCGTACGTCTTCACCGGTAGCTCCGACCACACGGTCCGCATGTGGGCCGTCACCACGGGAAATGCAGTCCGCATGTTCACCGGACACACTGGCAACATAACTGCTTTGGCATGCAGCCGCGACGGAAAACTTCTCGCATCGGCAGATGACCAAGGATCCATCCTACTGTGGGACCTTGCTCCTGGCCGACTGCTGAAGCGCATGCGCGGTCACGGAAAGGGCGGAATCTGGTCCCTGAGCTGGAGCGTCGAATCAACAGTCCTAGTCTCCGGTGGTGCTGATGGCACCGTCCGCGTGTGGGATGTGACGGGCCCGGCTCAGGATCCCTCCCAGGGCCGTGTCGTCGGCGAGGGCGGCGCAGGCACTAAGGTCGACGGCAGCAACCAGCCAGCACCCAGCACTACGCAAACCTCAAGTGCGGTCGCCCCGGGTATGGGCAAGAAGAAGGGCAAAGATGTCGTGGTGACGCCCGACCAGATCAGCGCTTTTCCTACGAAGAAGAGCCCGGTCTACAAGGTGAAGTTTACGAACATGAATTTGATCATTGCCGGGGGCGCCTATCTTCCTTGAGTGAGGGACGTGTATGCAATAGCGCCAGATACCCTTTATTCCTTTTCTTCTTTTCCGCATTGATCTATATCATCTTTCTGACGATTCCCTGTCTTCTTATTCCACATTCATGGGCAGGATACTCGGTAGCATGTGGCGTCTTTGGGGGCATTGGCGGTGGGCATTGGTGTTGGTGGCGGCATTGTATTTAATCTAGGATGGAAAGATCCTACTACTAGTTACTATTTTTATCTCAAATACTCAATACAGTTATTTTGAAACAGGACATACCTCCTAGTACATCACCACTTTATACAGCATAAAATAATCTTAAACCTATATTCAACATCTAGTATAGTATACTATAGTTATATCTTCTTAAACAACTCCCCAGCACCAGCACCAGCACCACTCCCAGCCCCCTTCTTCATCGCCGCCGAAGCCTGCAAATCCGCCACCTTAGGCGGCAAAACCAACGCACTGCGATCATTCCTCTTATAAAAATCTACCAAAATCTGCGCCGTTTTGGCCGGTTGATCTTCCTGAATGAAATGGCCTGCTTCCGGCAGGACTTGTAGTTGGTATTTACCTGCAGATACCGATATTAGCATATCATCCACTCAACAACAGTTTCAAAAGTAACCTAAATAATCAACAGGAATAGGATGGGGGAGTATACGCACCCTGCATCTGCCCAATCATCAACTCCTTATCAAGACGATCTGTCCCCGCTAGGAGGAGTAACTTCCCACCACGAGCATCGAGGAACTTGCGACTTAGACCGACGAACCAGTTCTCCCAGAAGGGTTTCGTGGCGGAGAGATTAGTCCGCCAGATCCAGGGTTTGGTGGGGTCGGATGAATTGGGGTCTTCGTAGAGGAGGGAGGGGACGGAGACGCGGGCGGAGGTTTTGTTGCGGATTGTGCGAGAGCGGGTGCTTTACGTCTGATTAAGTAAATGAGTGTGGATGGGGTTGCTTGATGACTTACTGCCATTCTATCCCTGAGGTGATGGATGGGAAGCGCGAGGGGCGGGTCATGAGATAGGTTTCCATGCTTTGGAGGGCGTCCATGGCGGATCCTGGTCCTTGCTGTTAGTACTTATATCCTCCTTTGCTTGTAGTTTGCTTGGTGAGATGAGGTGAAGGCTGGCTTACCCTCTACAACATCCAAAACTGCATATGCTAGTACTTTACTTCCCAGCTCGCCCTGTCTGGCTACATCGGTGATCACCGCACCACCTAGACTATGGCCGACAAGGACCAGATCGGGGAGACTCTCCCAGCCCATTCGGGATTGGGTTTCGTGGACCACGAAGACGAGGTCCCGGTTCAGCGTCTCGAGGCTTAGATCTAGCTCGATGCCCTCGCCCCCGTCCTCGCCTGAGGCGTGGGTAACTGCCGTGCTACCGTGATCGCGTGCATCTATGGACAAGATGCCGGCTTTGGGGATGATTTTGCGGATCTCGCCCGCGCATGCGGCAAATGATAAACCGGATGAGCCGGCGCCGTGGTGCATGACGAAGAGAGGACTGGAGGAGTCTGCTGGTGGTGTGAGATAGACATGGTGAGTGATCTTAGTGTTGTTGGGTGTGTCTATTTGTGTGAGATAGAGCTCCTGGGTGAAGTAGTCTGTCCAGGGGAGGGTTGTTTGTTGGACGGATCTGATAAGTGTGTTAGTTTGGTGATCGCTAGATAGTGAACTGTGGGGGGAGAGGCGGCGGTGTGAGGGCATACGCACCCGCGTCCTGGCCTTGCGAACAATTGTCTGCTGGGTGAGGGAACTATTGTCCCTGTTGATGAGGTCGAGGAAGAGTCATCGTCGTGACTGACCTCCTCGTCGAGGGGTTGCATGGACGGCCCGGTTGGCGGTTGGAGAGGCAGCTTGGCCAGTCTGGACTTGGCAAAAGATTTTTGCAGCTCGCTCATGAAGGCTGCACAGGTTTACTGGGTAGATAGGTAGATGGGGTTGTGAATAGGATCAGCTCTAGGCTTGGAGGTGTGGATGTTGACATTGGAGAGGAGCTTGAATCGGGAGTTGGAGCTGGAGCTGGCGAGTGGATCATGCGGTTGATGGAGGGGATGTTTAGTGGCGGGTGAGAAGATCTGGAGGGGAATGATAGGCGTATGTGCTATTGGCACCACTATGGTCCAGATGTAGGATCTGTAGATTGGATATGGAGTTTTTTTTCCCGTTACAGTTACAGTAGAAATTGTGTCTAAAGTATAAGAGGACTTATAAAAAGATAAGCTGACGGAGGAATGGATTTGCTGCATACCAAGATGGCTGATACCGTACATACCGTATTGTATTGACTGATGATACTTGATGGTATTTTGCAGATCACATTTTTTTTTCCTGGGATCTTTCTCCCAGTGGGTCTTCGATCTTATCAACTGGGGTCTGTATAGAGTGAAATTGATTGTCTATCCACAATTATACTCTAAATTATGGTCTGGATAATATTGAACAAGTATGCACCAGGATGGGTTTCCCCACGGTGCGGCAGGTCAGCTGACCAGGCGTGTGCCTGATGGATCGACGCGCTAATTGTGTACTTCCTGCTTTTCTCTTTGTTCTTAATCTATTGATGTTTTCCCTCCGACTATACCACATACATCCAAAGAGAATCGTCTTCCCCACCATGCACCCATGCCTTGCAATTCCAGTCCAGTCCATCTATTGTCTCACCTCCTTATCCTTGCCATTGACTCTCCATCCTGCATTAGCAAATGGCGGTGATGATATTGTGTCCATGACGGTGACATAAGCCTGCCGTGACGTCACGGCTGAGCATTGCCGCCAGCCAGATGCCAGCCGGTGATGCTCGCAACCATCATGGATCCCCTTCTTGTGTGCTTTTAGGGCCCTCCCGGTTCCACTATCCAGCCATTGCCATGCTGTGACGTCAGCATCTGCCTCATGACTCTCCCCTTCGGCATCCCGATCGATGTCGCGCCTTCGTTTCTTATCATGACCCATCTCGCCCCCGCACCTATCGTTCTATAGAGCACCAGGGTGAAGAAAAGCACAATGGTGTCCCTCAAATTTAGACGAAGCGACGAGTCTGATAGGACCGGCGAGCAGCGCGATCGAGAGGATGAGCGACGACACGATGAGCCAGATGAGCGCACACGACTGCTCCCGCGCGAGCCCCCGGCCTATCTGAGCCCTGATGACCCTGCTGTGAGCTTCGCATAGAAACACCTCCCTTCACGTAGATTATGGCTAACACCAGGCTCGCCAGGTCTCTCCCTACAACCTCTGGGGCATCCGAGCCCTACGAGGCCTCTCCTCCCTCTTCCTTGCCATCAGCTTCATCTGGTGGACCTTCCTTCTCGTCTCCCTCTTCGTCAGTCCACCCATGATGCACTCCCGCGGATCCGGTTTCTTCAGTTTCGCCTACACGACCCTGACAACCGGGTATCTCCTGCTTGGACTCCTATTCTTCGCTATCCCGTCGAAACCCATGTCCATATCCGGTATCATCATCGCCATCTTCCTCCTCATCGACATGATCCTTACTCTAGCCGTCCCTCGCATCCGGCTTGAAGAAGGCTGGGTGGGAGTCGCATCGGTAGTCTGGGCAGCTTTCATCGCTCTCTATACTATCGTCCAGAACCACTCCGTGGCATGGGGTAAGCGGGAGGAAGAGGAGCGTCTGACAGGGCGGCCGGAAACCCGCCGTCCCCTGCGCGAATGGGTCGCGGTTCTCATTCAGACCGTCTTCCTGGTCATTTTCGCTATCATTGTCATCCTGTTTACCGCCACCTTGATCCTTCGCGCCCGCGATGCATCCCTCCCCGCCCCCGGCAAGAAATACTACGTCAACGGCGACAGCTACCAAGTCCACCTCCACTGCGTCGGTAACGCTACCCACAGTCTTCAGAATGACACCCCGACGATCCTCATCGAAGGTGGCGACTGGCCCGTTGAACATACCCTGCAGCCATTCATCCACGATGCATACCAGTCCGGCCTCGTCCCTCGTTACTGCTACTGGGATCGTCCCGGCTTCGGCTGGTCCGACAACGCGCCCTCCCCCTTCTCTGCCGGCATGGCAGCAGATGCCCTATCCGAAGCACTCGCGCTCGCCGGCGAAGAGGGCCCCTGGATCCTCGTTTCGGCCAGTGTTGGTGGCATCTACAGCCGCATCTTCGCCAGTCGCCACCTGCTCGAGATCTCTGGAATCGTTCTGATCGACAGCCTCCACGAAGACTACCTCAGTAACATCGGCTCCCCTGGCCGCGGCTTCACGCTCTGGCTTCGCGGCATCTTCACCCCGCTAGGACTGGACCGTATCGCCGGAGCTATCTTCAAAGGACGCACGCGCGAAGACCGCGTCTACGGCCGCAGCTCCTACCAAACGGGGAAGATCGTCAAGGCGAAATTGCAGGAGAACCTTGTTGCTGAGTCGATGACCTCCTCGGAGATCCAGACGGCCAGACACGTCCAGATGGCGGATACGCCACTTGTGGTGATTAGCTCGGGTATTGAAGTTCGAAAGAGTGAAAAGTGGGCGAAGAGACAGGAGGAGTTGACGAAGATCACGAAGAATCTCAAGAACTTTGATATTGTGAAGGGGGCGCCACATGAGGTTTGGCGCGATGTGGAGGGGAGGAGAGTTATTGAGAAGAGATTGAGTGAATTGGTCAAGAAGGATGAGTAGGGATTGTATTCCTTTTAATATCACTTCTGTTCTTCTTCCTTTCTCTTTTCTTTTTTCTTCGTATTGTGTTCGTGTTTGCTTTCCCCCCTTTTCTCGGCTCGTGATATTCATATTTCTTCACAAATCTAGTCACTTTATCGCTTACAACCCGTGTTTGAAACTCTGCACGATCTTACGAAATTGACGATACATTATGTTGTTATTTTTCCATACTGTACTATATGTACCATATGATACGTACTCAGCTCAATCATTGTTCTATTTCCAAGTAAACCAACTACCCCGAGAATTAGAGAATTGACATTTGATCATGAAAGTAATAGAGGCAGGTCAATGTAAGTATCCCACGTAATGATAAGTGGGAGTATAGTTCATATTCAAGTGGCTTGGATGCACCATGCTATACTTTGTAAATATATTCCCGATTTCCCCTGCTTCCCCCTTTCCCCAATTTCCATTCCTTCCTTCCCTTGTTAATTCCCATGCCCTTTTCTCCGGCTCGTCCTCCGCTTTAGGTACACGCATGTGCGGCACGGACAAACGATTGTATATGTATTGGAAGTAGGAGATGATCGATATAGAATGGTGCTGACTGAGACGTTGCGGTTGAGGTTGAGGTTGAGATGGAGCCCGAGACACAGAGTGACATAGTAATGGACAGGCAGAAAGAGGTAAGATATAGAGATAGACGGAAGGAGATTTGGGATAGGTTGGGATTCGGTCATCGGACTAGTCAACAAAAGAATTTCATTCTAGACTAGCTCCCTTAAACCTCTTAGCAAGACGTTCACTTTCAGATTTGGGAGACTCGGGCCTGAGATGAGAGGAGGAAGAGGTAGATGAGGGGAGGGAACGTTTTCCGGGGTTGTAGGGCACTGAACGTGGCGGGTAAGGCTCGGGTGTGGGCAGCCAGGGGCGCTTAGGGGGGCGCTCACCACTTTCCTGAAGAATGGTCACCAGGGTAGCCCATCCAGAGGTGTTGATCAGCTGCAGGCCATCTGCGGGGGCACGTTGCGTCGCGACGCGGCATAGTAGGGCTTCTTCGTCCTGTGAGAAGGTGGGTGGTTTGGGTTAGGACGGTTTGCTCCTGAATGGAAGGAAGTCATGTAGGCGATGAGGGTTTACCTTGTTGAATGTCGACAGGGAGTGCAGGAAGCACAGCATGTGGAAGTCCGAGACGGCTCGGATTGCTTTGTCCGGGTCGCCGTGGGTTACTAGCTTCTTCGCTACGTGGATGAGCTCCTGGCTCTCGCCGATGACTTCGCGGTTCTCGATGGGGAAGCTGCTGTCGGTGAATAGGGGGGAGGCGTCCGTTGGGAAACCGTGTGTCAAGGTGACCAGGAGGTACTCGACGGGGAAGCTGGGTTTCGCGTTTTGCTGAGCGCTGATGCCGTACTCGTTGATCTTGCGATAGAAGACCTCGGGGATATACCGCGACTTGTTCTCGGTGTCGTCGTCCTCGGATTGCACCAGCATGACAGAGGGTTCTGCCGATGGTTCAACAATGTCCGCGCGGACCATCTCGACGGCCGCTACTGATGCCTGGTAAGCACTGATTGCAATGGCGCCCTCCTCGTCACCACTCAGCACACAGGTGACAAAATTCGAGCCGAAGCGGCCTGTTCGGCTCCATTTCGTGGCCTTCGGGTGTTGCGCTTGCAACCGCGCCGCAAAAGCAATCTCCAAGGAGGACAAATAGTAGGAGTCGATGTGTCGTTTGCAGATCACCGAACCGTCTCCACGACCTGCGTCCAGTAGGTCCGTAAAGATCACGCCAATCCTCTCCAAACCACATAGATGTGCAACCTCGTCCACCTCCTTTTCGTTGGGCCATTCATGGAGCGTAACTCCATCCACCTCATCCACTTGCGGTGGCTCATAGATGGCCTGGACCACGGCTTTCACACCCAGCGGAACCTCCTTATACTCCTCATAGGTACCGTAGAGAAACCCTAACCTCTGAGCGCCCGACTTCCGCCAAAAGTCGAGCAGCGAGTTAATGAGATCCGGCGAGGAGAACTCCACGTGGTCCACCATCCGGAACTCTTGCGGCTGCAGACTGATCGCACTCGGCTGGCACTTGGTGCAAATGCCCTCCGGCCACTGCGGGTGTCCAGAGGGACAGTCTCGCCGTACCCGATAATACGGCTCACTAAGCGGGGGCATGAACGAGCTGTTGAGTTCGGCTTTGTTGGTCGAGGCGTTGATTTTCCGCAGGTACGAATGGAACGAGAGGTGTTTGATCTTCTTCTCCGCCAAATACTTGGGGTCGTAGGGCTCGAGCGGCATGCAGTAGTCGCACATTCCCTTGGGGCCGTGTCGGCAGAACTTCGTATCCAGGCCTCGCTTGATCTTCCCATCCTTCTTGTCCAGCATATCATCTAGCGGCGATTGTTGCACCACGTCCCAAGGGTTCTTGATGGTGGCGGTAGGCGAGCTCGGCTGCGGAGGGCGGAAGGTTACCGTTTCGCTTTGGGGCACGGGAGCTCCATTTAGACGTCGCGAAGCTTCACCCGCGCTGTGGGTTATGTGGCCGTTGGCTGTGCCATTCTGTTGTCCTTGGTTTTCTTGATACCCGATGAAGAGCTTATCGCCGTGCCTGACAGGAAAGAATTGAGCAGTGTTAGTAGCTGTGACAGGTAACCTAGAGCGGCGCAGAAATGTCAAACATGCGGGTCTCAACTCACTTCAATCCAACTTTGTCCAATCCCACGCCATCTAAGCTGTTAAGAAGTCTTTCTTCACCACCGGTGCCGATGGGCCGGTTGGAGAGAGTGATAGATGAGGGATCGACGTTCGGAGGGAGGCGTTCTAGGATCTAGAAGAGGGCATATAAGCACTCATTCGAGCTTTGAGTACTACGCCATAAGATATAGGAAACACACCTGTGGCTGTAGAGACGGGAACAGTTCTTGCGGGTTGACCGTCAACCGGAACTGGCCGTTGCGGCTTTCGAACCTCAGTACGATCGGGCGTGACGCCATAGTGGTGACACCCTAGCAAGAAGGGATTGGACTGACTAATAGAGTTGAATCAATGTTTGTGCGGCTTAAGTAACTCATCAAACTCATCAGATCATGGCCGAGGGCGGGAGGGGGAGAGAGGAGAGAGAAGTTGAAAGAGAGAGAGAGAGAGAGAGAGAGAGAGAGAGAGAGTTGAGAGAGCTTGGAGAGCCGATTAAGGCGGCAGCGGAGCTCTATCGTCATTGCACGCCGTTACCGCCTGGTACCACCCCGCGGTCTCATCTCCGCTGACAAATGGTGTATTTCTGGTAATCCAGATACTTCCCTCGTCAACGCATCCATAGCTTATTTATGATTACACATACTTCTAAGTCAAGAGATGTATATTTATATATATTTATGAAGTGTATATTCATTTATTATGATTCTGTTCTATTATATTATGGAAATAGCATCACAACAACAACAACAGACCCAGTCCTCCGAATTAAACGCCAGTATCCAATCCAACCCGGTCAAAGCAAAGCAAGGCACGAATGAAACTGCAGGGTATCAAGTGCAAATCGATTTACATAATGGTGCACTTCTTAGGCAAACCACATGGTCCCTCGTTACTCTTGTATGCATCACTCGCTCCCTGAATGCCCTGACCATTCTTGGCTGGCGCAGGCTGGGAGTTCGGAGTCTGGGTCGTCTGTTTTTGCGACGCTGCTGCGGCCGCCGCAGGCTGCGACTCCGACTTGGCCTGCTCGCTACCATGTAGTCAAGCGAAGTTGTGGGCAGCAACGTGCTCGTAGAAGGCCTTGCCCTGGGCCTCAGCAACCTCGAGCTCGAGAGCGCTGGGCTGGCGGGAGCCGTCGGCACCCTGTAGAAAAGAAAAGTCATCAGCATATTGTCGCCAATAGAAACGGTCCGGTGTCGCTTTTTGGAAGAGAAAAACTTACAGCAAAGGTACCAGCACCCCAGGCGCTACCACCGTGAGCCTCGTTGAGGTTGGACAGCTGGGCGAAGACGGTCTTGTAGCCGAGAGGAACGTAGACGAAACCGTGGTGGGCGAGGGTGCTCATGGCAGCAAGGCAGGTGGACTCCTGACCACCACCCTGGGTACCGGTGGAAACGAAGAGACCAGCGTACTTGCCCCAGTAGCCACCGGAGGCCCAGATACCACCAGTGCGGTCCCAGAAGGCCTTCCACTGAGCGGGGAAGTTACCGTACCGAGTGGGGATACCGAAGAGAACGGCGTCGTACTCAAGGAGGGTGTTGGCCTCAGCAATGGGGTAGCTGGACTTGGGGGGAGCGTGCATCTTAGCCAGAACATCGTCGGAGAGGGTCTCGGCGATTCTAGACGGCATAGGTTAGTCACCGGGACAATTGCGATGAACTTCAGTTGCAGCTATTGACATACTGGAAAATGTCGGCGGAACCGCCAGCAGCCTCAATACCCTTCTTCTCAGCCTCGGCCAGCTTGAGGATGTGGCCGTACATGGAGTACTGTAATTGATTGGCCCATTAGTCCTGCGGATTTCCAATATTGTGAGGTCACAAAACGGTGGGATATCACTTACGAAGACGATAGCGATCTTGGGAGCCATGGTGATGGTGGGGTGGTGGGGTGAACCTGGAGGGGGAAAGACGAGAGAGAGAAGAAGGGCACAAAGGAGGAAGAGGTTGCTTCTGATGAAAAGAAGATAAAGACAAGCGAATGGGTCCGGCCATGGTGGCCAGACTTTATAGCCTCGAGAGGAAGGGGGGGGAAAGGTACTGTGGTTGAGGAGCTCCGCAACTCAAAGCAGCTTTCTCTCACTCAGCGTTTGGCAAGCATCTGTAATCGATTACTACAGTACCGTTCGCCTGTTCCCGTACGGACCCTGTCTCCCTGGCACGATGATTGGTCCCCAGGTACCTAAAAGTGGAATCCCAGAGCCACTCGGCGTGATGCCATCCAATCAATCTTGATTGTGGAGCCTTACGGATCATTGACAAATGGAGCTCGGATGGACTCGACTGGCGCTGAACGATCTCTTATTCACCATCTCATAAGCCCCTCCTCTCGTCCCCTCCCCGTGGGAACAAGCAATGGAAACACCTTTGGCGGCACGGGTTTGAACCCTCCTCTTTTTGGGAATTGAAGGGCCCCAAATAAAGATTAGGGAATTCTGACAATCTGCTTTCTCATCTTCACGTTACTAACTAGGGGTATCTGCTTGTTCTGTGAGCTGATAGTCATGATGTCATCTGGATAGCACCTAATCACTGTCGACTAATAGAGAGTCTCTCACATTCCTACTGTGGAATAGCTGCTCTCTCGTTGTTTGTTAGGGGTTGCTGCTGACGCTCACTTGGCCCTATATACAGTGTACACTCTACACAGTAACCTAGTTGGCTATTGAGTAGCGGAAATCCGTGCACGGTCTGGCTAGACCGTCCATCGACTCCCGTACCCAGCCCCATATTAGATTGTCCCGGTATCTCTAATAGACACCATATTCCCAATCGAGCTAAAGCACCAGCTCTGCTTCATCATCATTCTTATCGCATATTCCTTCAGTCAAATTTCTATCTCCCTACTATGTATCCTCAGATACACGACAAAGATAATTCAAATGCAACATTGATAGATCTAACCATGTAAAATAAGTGTAAACATGCCTCTCAGCTGGGTATCTCGACGATTTTGTAAACTCAAATCTGCAAAATGAATACAACCAACCCCTTTCCCCTACCACCATCATCATCATGTTCATCTTCATCATCATCTTCTTCTTCTATCCGCGTCCACGTCCCCGGTACCGACCCCGCATGAAGCCCCCACCGCGACCACGCTCACTCCTCCACTCCCTCTCACGCTCCTTCTCCTTCTCCTGCTCCTCCCGGATCAAGGCCCGTTCCCGCTCCAGCTCCTCTTCGGTCTTCTCGACCCGGATTTGCGGACGGGGGAGGTTCTCCGACCACCGGGGATGAGCATCCACGCAGGCCTTGCCGTCCGGACAAAACCCAGCCAAGTAGTATTGACACAAGCGGCGACGAACATGCCGCTTGGCACATAGGGGTCCCAGCTCGCAGAATCCCCGGTCGTAGTGTTCACAGGGGGGCAGACGCGCCTGCTCCCGCACGTGCTGATACAGGCAGTCATCGCCATTGGGACAGTAGCCGGACCGCGAGAAGGACTGGCATTCCGGCATGCGGCGGAGGTTGTATTCATGAAGGTACTCGCACTTGAGACCCTTTTTGCAGAGTCCCTTGAGGAAATGCTTGCAGACCAGCGACCCATGTGTGGTTGACGGTGCTAGTCCCGACGCGGTGGTGGTCGACGTGGTGACACGCGATGGGGTCGGGTGGCGATCGGGACAGGCTGGTCCCAGAGGGCAGTGGCCTTCGCTGTAGGCTTTGCAGACGGGTACATCACTGGCGAGGCCGAAGCCGTAGCTCTGGCGGAGGAAGGGGACGAAGGAGAAGTCATCAAAGCTCGGGTCGCGGGGACTGTTGGAGGTAAGCACGCGTGATGCTGCATGGCTCACGTCTGCCGTCATGTTGATAGGTTTTGTGTTGAATGACAAGAGGGTACTAGGAAGGATAGAGAGGTAGAGCAGGAGCTTTTTGCTCGTCGACACGTTTGAGCGGAGGTCCTTGCTTTGTTTGCAGTCAATCAGATTGACTGAGATGGGCTAAAATATAGACCCAATTAATGCCCTATTGCCTTGCAAAGTGTTTGGCACCCTCAGACACTTAAGCATATGGAAGAGAGCAGAGTTGGAGAATGGATGAATGATCAGTCGGCATCGGATGAGTCCAGACGAGCGACTCGGAGCCTTGAAAGGGCAGTATGTTGGAAGAGGAAGGCGGTGGCAAATATAGCATGCTTATTCAGCAATCCCATCGTGGAAGTCCATCGAACCATGTGAATAATGGTAGAACGCATGACGAGCTGAAGAGCAGAAGAGCGTAATTCGAGTTAGCATCTACTAGTTACTTCTACAGTGAAATTCGGTTGTCCAAAAGGGATCCCTCGTCGATGCTTATTCCCCGCCCTTGTTTGGGCACAGTCAGCCATCCATGCTGCAGCGAGACGTACCCCGTCTTTCGTAGATGGTTGACGGCAGCCTGGGGGAGCGCCGGGCCCAGTTGCAGCAGGCCAATGGGTACGTTTCCCAGGCGCAGGCAAGCCTGGCTGCCCCTGCATACGAGCATTCCTACGACTTACGAGATCACATGGTCCGTTGCTCGATGGGTCTGACGCCCGACTCCCTGCTCGACTGTGAGAAGGATGCATGTTGTACAGTGTAACTTTGAAACTGGGGAATAGCCCGGGGAATAACCCAATTCCGGTGAGCAGCACAACCTCAATGTTCCCATGCTTCCTCCTCCCTTTTTTATCCATCATCTTCTTTCCTTGTAGTGAATAGCTTCAGCAACAATACCGGCGCGGTTGTCGGCGCTCCGGAGCGGCTCCTGTCGCGGGCGAGTAACGCGCCGGAGAAAAAGTGTACTTGACGCTAAGAACCCGAGGATTGTCTCACCCCTCCTCGTTCTCGGTGCCTATTCGCTCGGGGATCAGATGCACATTCAGTATGGGTGAAAAGGTCTCCCACTCAGCATCAAGGTAATTGAGTCGCGGTCCTTGATGCGGGGATGGGGCGTCACTAGTCCTACAGGTTAGTCGTCCGCGGCTGCGTCTCCCCCACAACCAACATTTCCCTCAGACGAATGCAAAAGGGAAAAAATAAAATAAGAAAAAAAAGCAACGATGGTGGGAACTCTAACTGCAGCCATAAGAAATTAGTGGGCAAAAACTGCATTTTTCAACCCAGTCGATCCCCCAGTCCGATCCGGAACAACCGAGCGAATACTTCATAAGGATTACTGAGCATCTCCCCCATTGTGGCCAATCGCTGCAATGCTGATACATCCCGGCAGTTGCTCTGGATATATTGCATCAGCAGTCGATCGCTGAATTGACCTCTCCTCAGTCAGAATCAATAGTCCCGTGCGACGAGTCTATTATCTCATCGCGAGCTATTCGAGTTTTGGAGAAAGAAGGCTTAGTGACAGACGCCACTGTGAGTGGACTTTTGCGAGGTCTCAAAGCACCAGGATCTCACCGGAGAGTATCGAGAGGGTAAGACCCGGGTCTTAAAAACAAACCTTAGCCAGCCGCGTCCTCTAGCGGGTACATCAGATGAAGAGGGCGAACGTTCCGGGGCGGCCAATGATCAACACGATCGCTTGATCTGCTCCTCCGACCTGGGAACCTGGGACAGCAAAAGGCGGGGTGACAACGTTTGGACCGTGTCTGGGGCTGTGGCTGGTCATCATCAGATGCTCCCATCGTCGGATGTTGATCTGATTGACTAGCCCAGGTCACTGCTGATGGAGGAGGGGGAACCGACCGAAATAGGTCCCTAACCTTAGCAGCCTGCATGACAAAGCTGCATAGGATGTTGCCTGCAAATCGGCCGCATTGCAACCCTAGAAACGAGAATACGTGCGTGAGTAGTACGTGGTAGGGTACAGGGAAGGGTAGTTGTAAAAAAAAGCCAAGTACCTGGATCATGGAAAGAGTGGGATGATACTGATGTAGCCACTGCGTCGGGTCGACTCAAGTGGTTGTACGTGGTTTGGCCGGAGGAACGAAAGAAGCAGCTTTCGTTGTTGTTGTCGTTGTCGTTGCTGTTGCTGTCGCCGATGTTGTTGGTTCATCCTGGTTGCCTTCTTTCCTTCCTGCCAGTCCATCCATCATCAGTTCCGTTGCAGTGTCTCTCTCCCGTTGCTCCTGCTGCTTCTGCTGCAGATCAAAGGGTTTAAATTGCTCGAAACCTCAGCAGGAAAAAAAGAAAACACCCACTGCCACACTAATCGTACGATCCCTTACCTTCTCCATACTCGCGTGGGGGGAGCAAATCAAAAAGTCCCCAATTCGCATCACCAAAACCAACAAGCCCTTCCACACGTGACGCTGGCCATTCTGGGGCTTGTTCCATCTTTAATCCTCGCATCACGATCTTAAGCTTATTTTTCTATAATTTGACCTCACATCCTGGTCCTCGGAGAGTCAATCTTCCCCTTCCATTAGTTCTACTGCAACCTTGTTCCCCTCCCCCTCCACCACTGCCGGCCATGTTTTCCGGCTCCTCCCTCTTTCCGCACTGGCGGCGCAAAGCAGCCGAACGCTCCAGTAATAGTTCCTACGAGGTGCCCTTCTTCTTGAACGCTGCCTATTATCCCAATTGGAGGATATACCGGAAACAGCCTCCGTCGGCCCTTCGATTGGGCTTCATTTCCCATATCTTCTACGCGTTTGCATGGTACTAGTAACCTCAAGTCGGCACCATGCTGATGGTCCCAGTCCATACACAGAGACAGTTGTTAACCAGCCTGCTTTCTTCGTTCACAGGGTTAAAGAAGATGGTACCGTTTATGTAACCAGTCCTCTCCCCCTATTGTGAGGGGCTGATCTCGCTGACAGGACATGCTTCCAATAACAGCTCAGTGACGAATGGGCTGATGCACAAATGCCCGTCGACGGCACTAACGGCTGCCTGCGGGCCTTTGCGCAACTGAAGCCGCAGTATTCTAAAATGAAGCTCATTCTTTCAGTCGGAGGAGGCGGCAAGGGCAGCGAGAACTTCGCCCAAGTGGCCCGCAGTCAAACTCGCACCGAGACGTTTGCTCGGAGCGCGAGGGCGCTGGTGGACCAGTTTGGTCTGGATGGTATCGACGGTACGTGCGATGGATCCCAGCCCCTCCCTCCTTATCATCATGGATGCGTCATGTCAGTATCTACTTTGCAGAAAATAAGGTAAAATTGTGTGCATGCCCTAAGGCTAACCAACCGTGTGCTGGCCCAACAGTGGACTGGGAATACCCCTCCGACCCACAAGAAGGATCGGACTATATCCGTCTGCTGGCGCGACTGCGCGAAGTCCTCCCGGCCCCGCGTTATGTTCTGGCATCTTGTCTGCCGGCCGGTCCATGGGCTCTCCGCAACATCGACCTTTCCAAGGCGCAACTCTATCTCGACCTGATCAATATCATGGCGTATGATTTCTCGGGCCCCTGGGAGAACCAGTCGGGTCATCAAGCCCAGCTCTTCAGCAAGCATCCCGCAGCGATTTCTTGCCAAAACTCCATCTCATACATACTCAACCAGGGCGTCGATCCCAAGAAGTTACTTCTCGGGATCCCCGCGTATGGCCGCTCGTTCCTGGGTAGCAGTGGAGTTGGTCAGCGGTATGTAGGCTGTGGCGGTGAAGACGGCGTCTTCGACTATAGCCAGCTGCCGCGACCGGGAGCCAAGGAGCATCACGACAGCAGTCTGGGAGCAGCATACTGCGTAGGCGGTGATGGCGGGTTTGTCACATATGACACGCCCCAAACAGTCCAGCAGAAGGCGAAATTCGTCACGAAAATGAAGCTGGGTGGGCTATTCTATTGGCATATTGGAGGCGACGCGCGGGGACCGCGAAGTCTGATTGAGACAGGGTATAACACATTGCATGACATGTAGTTTTCCTTTCTATCTCATTGTTAGTATAGTTCAGGTCGGGAGTTCTTTTGTTCAAGGGAAAGTAAGAGAGTGTCAAGACAAAGAAAAACAAAGGCCAAAAAGTTATACCAGGGGAGGCATCCAATAGGAGGCACACGTGACTGATTCTGTTTGTTTAGCCATTGTTATCCTGATTGATTGAGTGATTGATCATAAGAAAGAAAGCAAGTGAAAAAGAGGACAATGAAAAGAAGACCGACATTCTTATGGCTTGTGTCTGGAACAAGACAAATTATCTCGCTTAAGCATCCCAGCTGGGGAAGATGAGACAATCGTTACATTCATTGATAAGCCCCTCCCTTTTCATTAACCGCCGTAGTGGTTTCACCATATGCAGTAACTAAGCAGTGTCTGTGCTTCCGCGACTATTATCTGTTTACCTACCTGGCTACCCATCGCATCCTTTGTTTCATATTTCCATCCATCATTTCTACTAGTCCTCATATCCTGAAAGAAAGTTACGAAACTAGAGTAGAAGATTATGGCATAGATTATTACATATACTAACTATACTATACTATACTATACTAAGTGACAATTACCTACCTAGCTCAGTCCAAACCAACGATGACACAAGTCCAGCTCTCATCCCTCTATCCATTCATCCATCCATCCATCCAAGGCAACATGGGAATCACAACATCATCGTAAGCAGTAAATAGGCCATATATAAACAGAAAACAAACCATCAACCCTCCACATAACACACATGTCTCATTTTTTATCCCCAACAAGAGAGGATACAAGATCCATCAGTCCGTAAAAGCAAAAATACAGACCCTCTATTTAAAGGCAAGAACTAACTGGCTGAATTAACCGCCCAATGCCTGCGTCACGTTCAATTGAACCTGCAGTTTGAGCGATGCCAGCGCCGCTTCGATGTAGAGGAGCGGCTGGTTGTTGTAGATGCTTGAGTTGCCGGTGATGTCGATGGGGATCATGTAGTCCGGGTAGTTGCCTAGCATGCTGGCGACGGTGAGGGTGCTGACGTTGGCGGTCATGGGGACGGTGTTGTTGCCTGGGTTGATCGTGAGGTCGTAGATGAAGGCCTGACCGATGCCGGTGTTGTTGACCTCCAGGTTGAGGGTTAGGTTGCCCTGTAGGATGTGGGGTTAGTTGGGATACTGGTATGGCGAATTGGAGGGAAGATGGGACAATTGCATACCACGGCGATGCTGATGTCGGAGGGGTTGGGGATGTAGACGGTTCCTTTGGCGTTGGTGCCGTCTGTGTTGTTGGTTCCAATTGACATGTCCACGAGGTCAAAGCCGGAGAGCTTGTTGAGGCCTAGACCGGAATGTATGAGTCAGTGGGCTGTGAGAGTCAATTGTAATATAAGGGGAATAGGTGAGCTCACCTGTCACCATGGCGGTCTTGTTGTAGGTCACAGTGGTCTTGGGAAGACTTCCCTCTTTTAGCTGGGGCTTGCCGTAGACGTTGAGAGGGAACTGCTCGTTCATGATGGCGGCCTTGCAGAACTCGGCGAATGCCGTCTCGTTGGTCAGGTTCGCACGCTGGTTGACATCGATGACAACGCCATTGTGGCCGTTGAACGGGGGAACCTGAACGTGAGTGAAGACGGCGGATCCCAGCAGGCTGATGGCTGCCGAGAAGGAGTAGAAGGTCGGGTGAAAAGAGCTGTTGGATCCAATGACCTGTAGTTGGTGGAGGTCGAAGGATGAAGATGAGGGGTCACTGATGATCATCGATGTGACAGTCAGGTTGGAGTCATTGACGATGTGTTGAGCCTCCTTGGGGTATGCGACATAGACTCTGTTTTCCGAAACATGTCATGTAAGCCGGAGACCAGAATAGGGATATGGATTGGGGGAAGGCATCTATTGCCGCGAGAGCAAACTTACACAGGAAGCACCACTACAAGAACAATCACGATCAAGGCGATGATGTACACCCACCACCATCGCTTGAAGTGCCTAGCCACGCGAGCCCCAAAGCTGGGCTTGGCCGTGGCCGCGGCCACGTTAGCACTTTCGATCACTTCAGGCTTGCTGTCACCGGCCATCTTGGTTATAATGGGCCGCTATTCCAGGTCGTACTGAACCTCTCCTCAGACACAATGTACCGATGATGTCGGTGTGACAATGGCGGGGGCTTCTCCTTCCGTGAGGACCGGACCGAGGAATGTGGGATGGCTAGCACAAGGATTGTCTCTACGCAGAGACAGATCCGAGGACTTAAGAGACTTGATTGAAGTAGACAAGCTGCAATGAGGTCAGCAACGGACTGGCGGGTACCAGGGGGAGTGCTATATATTCGGTCACCATGGTGCGACAGCAGCTAAAATACATACCCACCAGTCTGGTCGAGGTCAAGTGACGGGCAAGTGATATGCAAGACCGACGATTGATAGGGTTGAAGAATGACCACGGAACCCAGGAGACCGAATCAAGGGAGGCAAGGGAGGAGAGGAGAGGAGAAGAACCCACAATCAGCCAGGACGAAGGAAAAAGGAAACAACCGGGTCTAACCCCCCCCCTGCCCGAACGCTAGGTAGCTAGATATATCTTCTAGATGTCTCCGGGAAGAAAGAGAGAAAAACTAATAAAAGCTGAGACCATCACATGTCCAATTTCAGGAACCTCGATAGTCGATCAGGTCTGCACACCGCGGGTCATACTAGTGTACAACCAGGCTTGAGACGGCGCGGACGAAACATGCCGCTACTGGCCCTAGTAGATAGGAAGTGTAACGGCGTAGGTTGAGGGGCGAGCCACCAGAGGGACGCCATGCCAGGACCCAGTATGCCGGAGGACGATTTAGATAATGAGAACAAGATCCATTAGGTCCGGCCCCGCGCAAGGACCATGGCCAGCTTGAGATCGCGTGGAGCTACACACACATACTTCTTTCTCAGCCGTACAGTGGGTGGGTTAGATCAGGCATTGTTCATAATTGATGAGTTGCACCTGCAAATCCTGATTGAAGATGTACGTGAACCGAGGCAAGAGGTGAGCCATCGCATCATCCCGCTGCGAGTGATTGGAGGAGGAGCACGAGAAGGAAGAGGAGAAGGAGGGCGCAGGAGGGCGCAGGAGGACAGCCGGAGCATGCTGAAGTGTGAAAGGCTAATGCAACCCCCCAATTTCCCCCGGACGATCAGGGCAGCTTTGGGGTGGGACCAAATGCCGGCGCGATGCCAGAAGGTCGAGCTAAGGCTGGCTCTCTTCCTGTTTGGGTCATCAGGTCTGCATCCCATCGCCACTCTTTCTCTACTTTGGGCCAATTCTCCGTACACTGTGCTCGAGCACCGGCCAATGGCCCGACTTAGGCTTGAGCTAATGAACTCCCGGGGTTTAATATCGCCTACCAATCAACCGAGCCGGTCGCGACGGTCAGCCCGGAGTTCTGGTGCATTCGTACTATATTGTTATTGCATACTCCGTCTTGCTCTAATTTCTTTTCTCGAGTTCAAGCTGAGGCCGGAAGGAGGGGGAGGGTATTTGCCTGTTTCCCCGCTTAGTTGGTTAGTTGGTCTCCAGCCAAGCCACCCGGTGATCCAACTACTGAATAGTCCGTGGTGCTAGTCAGGACTTGCTTACCCTTTTCCCCCCAAAAAATCCCACCCACCAAGAGCAAAAAGCTATTCTTCCCTAGCTGGACACTAAATTGCGGGTAATTAATTGTCTTTGTTCTCTCCCCCGGGTGGTTCGTCGTCACTGGAGGACTCGATTTGATCACGCTGGAACAGCAATCACTACTAAATTATCAGAGGCTGAGGTATCCAGAAGCATGTCCAAAACTCTATCCACCAATGATGGATGAAAATCCGATTATGTAGCAATTCCTCGTGAGTATCATCAGGTATGATCTCGGTCGACACAAACACACGGCTATCTCTAAGAAGAAATGGAAAAAAAAAAAAAAATGGTATTACAGGAGTCAAAGAAAGAAAGGAATGGAAGAGAATCCCAACGATCGAACATGGACGAGTGTCCACGGGAAAAAAGTAAGAAAAAAACAGATGGAGAAATGAAAATAATCATGAAGGGAAGAACCACAGAACGAAGGGTGGGGGAAGTAGGGTTGTATTCCAAAAGAGAAGAAAAGAAATATCACACAGTGATTCGAAAATGATGGGTATCCAAGAAACGAATATCGCTGCCCGCAAATTGGGACGAGACGTCAAGCGAGAAGCCACTTGACCCGGTGATCCAAAGGGTGGAGCAGCTAGCAAGGCCTGCTCAAGGAGAAAAAGGAAAGGTGCGAATAAATAGCGCGAAATGCGAAAGGGGAAAAGGAAAAGCAGAGAAAGGGAAGAGCGGCAACCCACAGATGGGTCCAAACGAATGAAACGAAGTAGAATAGGAAAGTCTTCCTCAATCGGCAGCACAATGTGCGTGTTGATACTGACCAGAGACACTGAATGGTCGAGGAAGGACAAGAATATCAAGGGAAAATCATGCCAAGACCAAATGCAGAACAAGCCTTTCGCCTTTCTTTTTGCTGACGAGATAGCGGATGCAAACAGGCCCTCGGGTTGACCACGAGGGTACTGCACAACCGTCTATGCTTCAGTTGCAACCGACTTTTTGCGATGGAAAAGACTGCGGGTTCGGGACTTGCTGCGCTGTTTCTTCTCGGGAGTACTGCCAGGCTGGCCCCGACCACGCGAGTTCGAGCTGGACTCCTCGTCCATGTACTTGTCCTTGTAGATCCTATCAAAGCCGGGTTAGACCCACCCCAACCATAGCCGGGCCGGTGGAGCAACTTACCAACTGTTCCCAACCATACTGATGCCCTTCGCTTCCGCCTGCCGGTAGAATTTCGCCGCTTTCTTCAGGTCCTTTTTGCATCCAATACCTTCGGCGTAGCAGAAGCCGGCCTCCGCTAGGGCATCGCCGTCGCCCCATTGGCCCGCGATCTCGAAGCAACGCAAGGCCAGGGACTTGTCCTGCTCGATACCCCATCCGTTCAGATGACTTACTCCAAGCTCGTAGATACTCAAGGCAAACTGCGCTCGGTAAGCCTTCTGTAGCTCCTTGGCACGAGCGGGAATGGTCGGGTTCGAATCGTCCATCAATTCGATACCAACGGAATCCACCGCCTTTCGCAACCACCGCACACCCTCCCGTTGATTCGGTCGCATACCCCAGCCATGTCGACAAGCCAACGCGTAAAGTAACATTCCGGTTGGATGGTTCTGCTTGGCTGCAATGCGCAGGTGATATGTCGATTCATTCAAAGAGCCTCTTTCATGGCATTCAATACCCTTGGTCACATGCTCATCCGCGGTAATTACAGCTGATGTTGTCGTGTTTGTGCGCGCGGTTTGCGGACGAACGGTCGATTCAGAACCTGCAGAGGAAGTGGCATCGGTGTGGTCTATCTTCGGGGCTTCTGCTTCCCGTTGTTCCGTAGGAGTATCTTCGGTGGGAGCGACCTCGGTAGGCTCAGGATCAGTAGGTGCAGGCGCGGTAGGTACAAGCTCGGTAGGTGCAGGCTCCGCAACAGAAGGCTCGGGCTCGGGCTCAGGCTCGGCAGGAATCGGTGGAGATGGTCTGACTTCCGGAGATGGCGGACTTTGTTGAGGCAGAGGGTGCTCCGGAGTCAAGTGACGAGCGGAAGCGGGAGACTCATACATTGAGCGCGTCTTCGAGTGGATTGAAGCCTGCAGAGAGGGGGTAGGCGACGGGGTCCTTGCGGGTTGCGGAGGTCCCGCTGTGCTGTGCCGAGTTGGGCTCTCGAACAAAGGCTCCCGCCACTCGAAATGAGGGGTTTGGAGGCCGGAGAAGACCACCGAATCCCGCGAAACCGCACGTCCCCGGGGCAGCGAGTACTTGGCATAGGTGTAGCAAGAAACAGCAGAAGATGGGTCTTCATTGGGGTTGATCGGCAGGTCCGATGGCGATGGTACCACAATGGGACTAGGCTTGTGTCCACGATTTAGCGCGCCTTGCGAGTTGGCAACCGGCGGTTCCGGCGAAGCCCTCGGACCTGGGGCAGAGAGACTTGTGCTTGACCGACTCAAGGGACGTGAAAAGTTATAGGGCCTTTGAAGATAATTGCCCGCGTTCGAAGTCTCGGAGCTCATAGACGGCGATCGGGGATGCGAGCGTGTCATGGAAGAGGACATCGAAGAGTATGGCAATGATACGGCGCTGCTGGCGGACATCTTTCGGGGCTTTGAGAACGTCGACCCGGCATTCGAGCTGCTGTAGTCATCGTCGGAGCTTTCGGGCTGTACGGCTCGAGCACTACTCGATGGCCTAGACAGTGGCGATCCCGGGGGTGCTAGGCCTCGTGGGGGAATGTTCAAGCGAGAGACAGAATCAGTCGAAGAGGTCCGAGACGGTGCCACCATCGAGACCCCCAGCGAAGGGGGCGGGCCACCCGGAGTAAGGCCAGTGGGGGAGACAGCATAGAACCGAGGAGGGCCTTCCGGCGGAGCTTCAGGTGCGCTGTGTGAGGACATGGCATCCTCGGGTGATTCGGCGCGTGGCAGGTCGAGGGCGTTCACGCTCGGCTCTTTTTTCGGAGTCGTGTCTTCGTCCTCCTCGGGGTAATCTCCCACTTCGCTGGTCAGATGCGATATTGCACTCAGACGAGGATGTTCAGACTGCGGGCGAAATTTGGGTTCCTCCACCTCGGGGCTCAACTTCTGCGTAGGTTGTCTTGACAGTTCATTGCGTCCACCATGACCTTTTGCGCCAGTGGAAGAATCGCTCGACGATGGGGATCGAAAATAGCCGGGACGGGGTTGCGAGAGCGAACGAGCCACGCTGGACGGAGGCAGCCTGCTCATGCGCCGGTTCCTCCGTGCCGATTCCTCCAGTTGACGAGCAAGGAGTCGACCTTGAGCAGCGAAGGCATCGAGTGGAGAGAGCGCTGGAGGGATTTCACCATCATAGTGCTCAATGCGTGGAGACGGAGCCCCGCTGCGAAGGACGTCGTGGGAGGGAGAGCGGTGATCAAATTTGGGCCGGGAGGCCATGGTTTTAATTCAGGATTCCTCAAATTGTTTCGAAGATAAAGAGATGTTCGGTTTCGTTTTCCGGAGTCAAAACAGGAACCACACGTAGGGTCTTAGGCGATCAAATCATTAACCACCGTAGACGGGCGAGGGGCTCGATTGTTCAATCGCGTTGCATGAAGAATGTGGGATGACGGGAGTTGGAATGGGGGGAGTCGGGCAGCGCTTGATGCTCTGCACACACTGGTAAGCCGGAGGCGCGCAAGAACGGTTCTTCGAAGCACTGCACAGCTGACAAGTGCGGACAAAAGGAGGGGGCGGAAGACACAAAGGAATGACAGCCCCAGGGAGATAAGCAAGAGGGTGTGGAAGAGAAAAGAAGCGAACGAACAGTTCCGAACAGTAGATAGTAGTTAATAGGTGTATGGATGTGGATGGGTGAGGTCGGTACTAGAGAGCCGGAGGGGAAACGGCACCCAATTGGTGTGGGTTGTGGTGTGATATTGTGATGGTTTTCCCCGGCGGATAACAGTCACTACTTACCCCTACCACTATATTAGTAGTATGGAGTGAGAGGCAGTTGAACAATCAACTAGTTGACAGTTCAAGAGTCGTCACACAAGGAGACCATGAACTGGCATTGCGGAGAGGAGAAAGAGAGAGAGAGAAAGAGGGGAGAGGGAGGGAGGCGGGGGGAATGGGTAGAGAGATGGAAAAAGGGACTAAGAAGGAGGGAGTTTGAAGCGAACGAAACTGGAAGAGCGTGTGAAGGACGTTTTGGCCCATTTGATCAGGTTCGAGGCAGGAGGTTTCGTTACTTTACTTTACTTTACGCCCTGACGATCCCCAAACAAGGACCGTCGTTCTGGGCGTCTCCACGCGGAGGGGAAGAAAAGAACGGTAACGCCATTACCGACGGGTGCCATGCAGTCTCCCCCCAATCACTCCTGTTTGCTGGTGCCAGACAGTGCCATACACCCGCCCACAGGCCCATTCTTTCAGGGGTTGCCGTTTCCCCGTTACATACCCATACCGGACAGCTGACAGTTCCTCGGTCTTGGCATCCACCCAACTGCAGGCGGATCTTTACACCTTTTTTCTTTCGATTTTATTTTACCGGGGCGAAGTCAGGGGCTTGCATTACTATTGTTCGCTTTATCGATGATTATTGATGCCCGGACTCCCCCAAAGGTACCAAAGAGAGTTTTCTATCTAGCACGGGGAAAGCCTGTCTGTCGATGGGTTTGACCAGCTTCTAGAAGGCAATAGCATTCTCGACCATCGTGAGTCTGTCTGTCGGGTTAGTGGTTCAGCCTGAGTCGACGGTGGAGTCTGAACCGCACCGTGGCTCTGCGATGCTATTTTTATTCGCTTCTTCCCACCCCCTGCAAATTTTCGTATCCCAACCTTGAGAACCGCTGCTGATTCGTTCATCTCGTCCCATGGGTTCTTTCCACTCAGGTACCATTTGTTGCTCCAACGACCGCCGTTCGTTTCGCTTCTGCCATGGTGCCCTCCCGGCTAGTGTTGTTATTGCGATAGTCGCCCGTTGACTAGCCAGCCGGTCTGTGTGGTGCAAGGAGGTAGATCTTGTCTAAGATTCTGGGTAGATGTTTTCCTCCCTCTTTCCGTCATCTTCATCGCTGGTAACAGCAAAATTAAAACCAGTCTGAGGCAAGATGATCACCATCCGGAACAAATGTCTCATCTGACTGCGTTCTCGTTACTTGGACCTGTTGTTGTTGAGCGAAATATGTTGTAGATTGTTCACTCAGCCAAAAAGAGCGACACCTTGAGGGGGGTGCGCGTCCTCAGCATGGACGCCTAAGTCAAAGAGT